GGAGCAGAGACACGGGGCCAGAGGTTGAGCTGATGCGCGGCGTATCGGACCGCAAACGGCCACAGGAAATGGGGAGCAGCCGCATGGATCATGGAGGTACGACCAACCTCCATGATCAGGCCAATGCAACGCTCAGCGATCCCATTTTGCTGCGGAGAGGCCGGAAGCGTGAACGACAGGGTGATGCCCTCGTCCTGACAGAACGTCTTAAGGACGCCAGAAGAGAACTCACCACCCCTGTCAGAGTGCAGACGCAGGACTGGGAAGTCCTGCTGAAAACGCTCGTGCAGCTGGAGACGAGTAGCACGGATTCAGGGGATCAAAACACCGCTGACGTCCGCCTTGCGCCGCAAGGGGAAGACGGTGGTGTAGCGTGTGTAGTCGTCAACTACCAGCAGGAAGTAGCGCTCCTAGTCCGTTCCACCGACTGGGGCCGGGCCCTACACGTCCAGGTGGAGAGTCTGCAGAGGAGCAGTGGTCGGAGGAAACTCGGAGGAGTGAGGAGCGGCGCGCTGCCGCCCCTCGACGCAAGGAAGGCACGGCGGGGCAAGCGAGCGCGGCACGGGGGGCAGGGTCCTGGAGAGGCCAGAGACAAGGAGACGAGAGTACATACTGCGTAGACGCGGCAGGGAGGGGTGACCAAGACGGTGGTGCCAGCGCTGAGTCTCGTGCGTGAGTACTCTGCACGAGCAAGACGCAGCTAACTGTCCCGACGCAAACGCCCGACTCGACGCAGCCACCTGACCTGACTTAGCCACCTGTGCAGACGCAGTGGTCAGTGTGTACAGACTAGACCCAGGCTGTCAAGTGAACGTAGCCAGGAGACGGCCATGTCAAACATATATCTATGTTTATAGTTTGGGTAGGCTTAGTGGGGTACTCAGTGTGGGGTACAACCCCTTAGGTTTCTCCTTTGTACCAACTCTCTCGATAGTCCATCTTCATCCATGCCTATACTCTAAGATGGTATCAGTCCCTATGCTCGAGGCTTCAGTCAGCGAGAGGGAGTTGACTTCTTCCAGACCTTATCTCCCACCCCGAAGATGACTACTCTTCGGGTGTTGCTGCACGTTGCCGCTCAGCGTGACTACGAGCTTCACTCTCTTGACTTCAGCACAGCTTTCCTACAGGGCAGTCTGCACGAGGAGATCTGGCTGCGCCGCCCACCTGGCTTCACTGGGTCGTTCCCTCCTGGTACCCAGTGGAGCCTCCGGCGGCCAGTCTACGGTCTCCGCCAGGCGCCACGTGAGTGGCACGACACACTGAGAACGACTCTTGCGGCTCTTGGGTTTGCCCCGTCGACTGCTGACCCGTCGTTGTTTCTGCGCACCGACACTTCGCTGCCACCGTTCTACATCCTCGTGTACGTCGACGACTTGGTCTTTGCCACTGCTGACACTGAGGCTCTCGCCCTGGTGAAGTCGGAGCTGCAGAAGAGACACACGTGCACAGACCTGGGTGAGCTGCGCAGCTACCTTGGCTTGCAGATCACCCGGGACAGAGCACGCCGCACCATCACACTGACTCAGTCACACATGGTGCAGCAGGTCCTTCAGCGCTTCCGCTTCACCTGGTCCTCCGCACAGGCCACTCCTCTGGCTACAGGTCACTCGCTCTCAGCTCCACCTTTGGACGAGTCCGTAGAGCCGAGTGGTCCTTACCCAGAGCTAGTGGGCTGCCTCATGTACCTGATGACCTGCACTCGTCCTGACCTTGCGTACCCTCTTGGCCTTCTGGCTCGCTACGTGGCTCCTGGTCGGCACCGAAAGGGTGCACATGGATGCTGCTAAGAGGGTACTACGCTACTTGTGCAGTACATCGGGCATGGGGCTCGTGCTTGGAGGATGGGTTGACGTTGTCCTCACTGGTCACTCGGACGCCTCTTGGGTTGACGACCAGGCTACGCAGCGGTCATCACAGGGTTACACCTTCAGCCTTGGCTCTGGTTCAGTTTCCTGGCATTCTACACGCTCGTCTTCAGTTCTCGGCTCTAGTTGTGAGGCTGAGATCTACGCCACAGCCATGGCTGCACAGGAGCTACGCTGGCTCACTTACCTGCTGACCGACTTGGGAGAGCGGCCTCGTTCTCCTCCAGTGATGTACGTCGACAACAAGGCCGCCATTGCCTTGTGTCAGTAGCACTGACTGGAGCACAGAACGAAGCACATCGCTCTTCGTTACTTCCTTGCTCGAGAGTTACAGCAGCGTGGCCAGCTTCGTCTTGCTTACGTGGCCACTCGGGCCAACACTGCTGATATATTCACCAAGGCACTTCCGCCTGGTGATCATCAGCGTTTCTGTACTTTGTTAGGCCTTGTGCCCACACTTCCCCACTTCCTGTAGCCTTTGCTTGTACTGTGATTTATATATATATACCTGCCTGCTTGCTCTGGTAGGTAGAGATCACTGTGTTGTTGTTGTGAACTGGCCTTGTGGCCTTTTTGCTTGTGCTCGGACTGCGTGGTGACGTTGTGATCCACCCTGAGCTTGCTTTGCATTTCCTGACTGGTCTTGTGACCCTCTGTTCTCCCCCACTTGGCCTATGGGGGTGTGTCAAACATATATCTATGTTTATAGTTTGGGTAGGCTTAGTGGGGTACTCACTGTGGGGTACAACCCCTTAGGTTTCTCCTTTGTACCAACTCTCTCGATAGTCCATCTTCATCCATGCCTACACTCTAAGAGGCCAGTCCGGGAGCACGTACAGATCGCCACACGCTGCCCTCCATGAATAAAGGTATCAACCAGACATCCTGAAAGGCAGCGTTGCTCACCAAGTTCGTCGAGAACGTGGGGAGGTGGAGACCTGACGGAGAACCGGAGGGGACTGCTGGACAAGGGAGGACCGTGGAGGCTCTCGCAACTACTGGGCCCCCAGAGGGGTCAGCCAGTGAGACTGAGACACGTGCTGTGAGTGGTGTGACTGTGGTGCAATCACGAAAGAAGCAACGTGACGCGCCTAAGTCAAGTGTGAAAGTGTGCAAGACCTCAGCGGAGGCAGGACCTGTGGCAGTAGACGCACTAGCACCTAGAGCGTCGGCAGACTCACGGGCACCTAGAGCGGCAGCAGACTCACTAGCACCTGGAGTGGCAGTAGACTCACTAGCACCAAGAGCAGCAGCCTTAACACAACGATAACCTCCACCACCAGGCCTGCCTCGCTGAACAACCCACTCACGAAGCTGCTGAGGGGTGGGGTCATCCGGGAGAGGCAGTGCCCGCTGCTGTCCACCCCTGGCCGCAGCAACTGCCGCGATAGTGGCCATGACAGACAGCGACGGTCAGGAGTAGGTCCAGCACCTCCAGCTCCTCCAGCACCAGCAGCACCTCTACCAGCAGCAGCAGTAGCACGAGTAGCAGCAGCAGAAGTAGTAGCAGCAGCAGGGTGGCTCAATGGGGCTGGGCGGCCGCAGCTCCAGCACTCCCAGCAGCACCTCCACCAGCAGCAGCGGAAGCACTAGTAGCAGCAGCAGCAATAGTTTTTTTTTTTTTTTTGTTATTATTATTATTATTTAGGGTTTAGGATTGCGCGCGGCCGGGGCTGCAGGGGCGACGCGCAACTCGGCAGGGCGGCGCGCGGGCTGCAGGGGCGACGCCCACGGGCTGCAGGGGCGACACGCAGCTCGGCAGGGCGGCGCGCGGGCTGTAGGGGCGGCGCGCGGCTCGGCAGGGCGGCGCCCAGGCTGCAAGGGCGACGCTCTGCTCGGCAGGGCGGCGCGCGGGCTGCAGGGGCAGCGCCCACGGGCTGCAGGGGCGACGTGCGGCTCTGCAGGGCGGCGTATGGGCTGCAGGGGCGACGCGCGGCTCTGCAGGGCGGCGTACGGGCTGCAGGGGCAAGGCGCGGCTTGGCAGGGCGGCGCGCGGGCTGCAGGGGCAGCGCCCACGGGATGCAGGGGCGACCCGCGGCTCTGCAGGGCGACGTACGGGCTGCAGGGGCGACGCGCGGCTCTGCAGGGCGGCGTACGGGCTGCAGGGGCAGCGCCCACTGGCTGCAGGGGCGACGCGCGGATCGGCAGGGCGGCGCGCGGGCTGCAGAGGCAGCGCCCACGGGCTGCAGGGGCGAACTAGCGGGCTGCAGGGGCAGCACGCGGGCCACAGGGGCAGGCACGGCTGCAGGGGCAGCACGGTCGCAGGGGCAGGCACGGCTGCAGGGGCAGCACGGTCGCAGGGGCAGGCACGGCTGCAGGGGCAGCACGGTCGCAGGGGCAGGCACGGCTGCAGGGGCAGCACGGTCGCAGGGGCGAGTACGGCTGCAGGGGCAGCACGGTCGCAGGGACGAGCACTGCTGCAGGGGCAGCACGGTCGCAGGGGCGAGCACGGCTGCAGGGGCAGCGCGGTCGCAGGGGCGGCACGCGGGCTGCAAGGGCAGCGCGGCTGCAGGGGCGGAACGTTCGGTGGGCCCTAGGAACGATTCTGCTCTAATACCATGTTAGAATAAGCAGGCAGGAGTGATGGACTAGGTAGCATGCATTAGTACAAGTACCTAACCCTAAAGTGTTGTACCCCTTGTAGGCTAACCCACTATAGCCTAGAGATAACACAAACATACAGTTTGACAATGTGTTATGGATTTAAAAAGACTAGGTGAGCGAAACCCATCATCTCATGTATCCATCGAGGGAAGTAAGTGTGATTTCACCTAGTTCCAATATGTGAAAACTATAGCCCATCGAAAGCTCCTCCTATCTGTTATTCTGCCAGGCTATTAAAAAGACTGATTCAGTGTGTTTACGATGTGACTCAGACCTGAAAATTCAGCATGCAGCCTTGGCTGTGTCAACTTGGCCTAGGGTGGGGATGAACCTGAAAGTGGTGAGCAACACACTGAAGACTGTTGCTTCAGTAGGCGTTCTGTAGGCGTGTCGATGCGGATCGAATGACATGAAGACCCCCTGCAAAGCAGGATGAACAGTACTGCTGGCCATAATGTTAGTCTGCTGCACTAGCTCAGCTGGTACACCTCAACTAATTGATTGATGGCTTTTGACTTGACTAAAGAATCAACTGTTGGCTGAAACATTCGCCTGCGCCAGCGCAGCTGACAGCTGGCACACCTCTGTGAATTGCTTAATGGCGCGATCAAACTGGCAGCCCTGGAAGTGGGGGCGCAACGGAGAGGCATGGATGAAGAGAGAGAGTGTGAGAGAGATGTTGACAGGGAAGCAAGGAGACATAAAGGCGCAGCTCCCTCCCACATGCCTCATACCTCCCTTCACGCATCTCACACCTCACCTCCCAGTACAGGTGCTGGCACTGGCAGCACTGCCAGAACTCCACCACCCAAACCAAGACAAGGCTGGGCACAACCTGAGACCATAACACCACCGATGCTGACTTTTGAGACGTTTCAAAAGTCATACACACACGTCAGGTCTCACTCACCTCCCAGTAGAGGTGCTGGCACTGGCAGCACTGCCAGAACTCTGCCACTCGATCCAACACGTGACTCGGCACCACCTGTGTCCACGGCGCCGCCGCTGCTGCCTCTGAGGGCCCCAGAGCCTGCGGCTTGAAGGTGCCGTTGCAGCGGATGCAGCGCGAGAGCAGCGAGGACTCGCACAGGAGCAGGCGAAACGCGGTTACTACTTCGCGCAGTTGCTCGCGCTTGTCGGTGCTTCTAATGAGGTGCATGTGGCTGGGCGGCAGCAGGCGGCGCCGGAAGAGCTTCACGTCCCTCGTTAGAAGCACACGGCCCTCCCTCTCTGCCCACTCTATTAGTTTCCTGTGGAAGGGTGGGAGGGCAGAAAGGGTAGGTTTTATCACCAGCACATGCACATTCGGCACGATAAGATCAAACGTCAGCACATTCTGATGTCAATGTTTGGACGCACAGGGCAATTTTCTTCTTCCCATTCACTCAGACCTCACCCACAATCAGAGGCGAACCATCCTTCGAGCTGAACCATACCTCGTGTCACATGTGTCTCGGCCGAGAGTCTTGGGAGACGCGGTGTCAACGCCCACACACCGCAGCTGCCGTGCCAGCCCCTCCACCATGGAGTCACACAGGAACCGCGCCTGCCCATCCCCTCCCCGTGACTCATCCCACGGCGGCACCAATCCATTCCCAAACATGTTGTTTTGCCGCACTGCATGCCATGGTGACACCAATCCGCTGTGTGGCCTGTCAGGACGAGCATCCCCTGAGGGCACATCATCATTTGAGTGCGCTTCATTGTGACGCGATCCACCACCGCTGCCCTGCTCACACGCTACTGCCCTGCCTGCTGCTTCTCCTTCTGACCCTCGCCATGCCTCCACCGCTCCCACTCCTTCGCCCCCCCCTGCCGCCACCTCCCCCTCGTCTCTAATCCTGCTCTCTCGTGCCTGCTTCCTCCCCTTTCTCGAGTTCAACCGCTTCCCTGAGCCACCCCTCCCCTTCCCTGGCCCCCCTTGGCCCAAACTCGCCCTGCTGCCGCTGCTGTCGCTGCCGCTGCTAGTGCTGGTGCTGGTGCTGTTGTTAACGCCGCCCGTGCTCTTTCCCACAGAGCGCACCTTGCCAGTGATGTGGCAGAGGGAGAGCGTGTGGGAATGTTCCTCTATGAGCTCTGATAGGGCAGCAACGAGAGGGGTGGTGCTGCTGGCTGCAGTGAGGGAAGCCGTCCTGTTTTGCTGCTGCTGATGCAGATCGTGATGACGATGCTGATAATGATGCTGCTGATGCTGCTGCTCATGCTGCATGGTGTGCATGAGGCGATGGTGTGAATGTAAGGGTGGGAGTGCAGGCGTGACAGTACACGCAGTTACTAAAACAGATGCAGCCGGAATGGGCTGGTGAACAACACAAGGGGATGCTGACGAGGACTCTGACGAGGATGTTGACGAGGGTTTTGACGAGGATGCTGACGAGGATGATGCTGACAGGGATGGTGACGTGGATGGGCCTCCATGTACTGCTGCTAGTCCAACCTGACTCTTTCCATGTGCGGAAAGGGCATGGGCAGAGAGGGCGTGGGGGCGCAGAGCGAGGGGGAGCAGGGCAACCGCCATGTGAATAAGGCAGAGGGCATCAGCAGCGGCATAGAGCAGCTGGTGGCGTGACAGCGGCCGCTGCTCCCAGTCACTGCACTGCAACTCCTTGTCCAACGGCGCCCCCAGCAGCACCTGCGCCAGCCCTGACAGCCCAGATGCGGGCGGCAGCACTGATTTGGACGCGAGGGAGCCGGGAGGGGCGGCGGCGGTGAGGAGCGAGAGCAGGTTGTCGCGCTTGAGGTGCAGGCGTGTGCGGCGAATAGCGTGGTAGGCCGTGCCGATGTCTATGAATGGTGCCACGTGGTGGAAGCAGTCCTGGCCCTGTGAGGGGTGCTCGTGCTCTGAATGGGGGGAGCGGTGCTGGTCTGGGAGAAGGGAGGGATGATCATGGGAGTGGAGGGAGTGGTGGAGGGAGTGGTGGAGGGAGTGGTGGTCTGGGTGAAGCGACTGGTGGTCAGGAGAGTGGGAGTGGTAGTGCGCGGGGAGGGAGTGGTGGTGTGAGGAGAGGGAGTGGTGGTACAAAGGGAGAGATTGGTGGAGGAACTCGAGGTCGTCTGAGAAGGCAAAGCCGAGCTTGAGGGTGTGAGGCGCGCGCAGCATGGCACGGAGAGGGGGGGCGTACAGGCAGGGCGGGAGAGACAGAAGGTCCAGCAGCAGCACCACCTCCTCCCACCCATCCGCCTCCTGCCATCTGTCTGTTGGTTGCAAGCTGTCCGTCTGATGTGGCAATGATACCGTTTCACTCTCACGCTGCCCCACATGCTGCTGCTGCTGCCCTCGCAGCCCTGCTGCCACTCCGTGGCCCCACTGTTTCTCCCCTCCCTGCTGCTGCGGTCCCTCTCCACTGCCTGAAGTGCGTGCCTCAAGGTCACGACCTTCATAGTCACGCTCGTGGTGGTCGCACGTCCCTCGGGGTACACGGCATGCTATCTGCAGCAGGGCCACGCGATGAGGGGGAAGAATGCCTGCAGATGATGCTGCTGCTGCTGCCGCTGCTGCTGCTGAGGTTGATACTGCTGCTACTGCTGAGGCTGCTGATGCTGATGCTGATGCTTGAAGAGATGATGCAGCTGCCACGTCAGCCTGTTGTGCCAGCTCAGCCATTTCCCGTCGGAGTCTGGACGGCCGCCACTCAGCATCAAGCCCCACCATAATTGCCTTGGACAGAATAACGTCAACCCTTGCCGCCCGGAAGGAGGCAGCTGAATCAATAAGGTAAACGCGGGAGGGGGAGAGAGGCATCCGCCAGAAGGGGGAGGGGGAGGAGGCGGAAGGGGGGGGGTTAACGGAGGAGGAAGGGAAGGGAGAGGGGGATGACGGATAAGATGACGGAGAGTGGGGAGGAGATGGGGAAAGGGGAGGAGATGGAGGGAGCATGGCGGAGAGCTGGAAGAGTGGAGAATGATCCGCTGCTGGTATGCGCATGTGAAGATTTTCTGATGATGATGCCATTCCGTTGGTATCTTGGCCAGGCTGCAGTGTAAGAATGGCTGCTGGTGCTTCAAACGGAATATCTAAAAGAGAGTGGGGGGATCGGGTCCAAGGGTGAAGACTGTGATTGGATCTGAGACAAAATGTTCTGATGCCTCGTGTGGTGCCCCGAATCCGGGTTAATGCTGCTGCGTTGCTGGAGGGGATGCTTGCGACGATTGCATATGCGACAGCGGTGAATGCGACGGCTGGGCCTGTGACTGGAACTGCCGACGCTTCTCTTCCAAAAGCTGGTCGTCGCGCAGCACGCCGCGGTGGAGGTTCTGTGCCACGTGGCGGCAGGGGATTCGCGGAAACGAGTGAGAGTTGAAAAACGCGATTAAACACCATGAGCAGACGAAACGGATTTGTGCAATGACTGCCACTTAGTGTCGATGATACAGTGAACACAGTGCTGAGAGAATATAAGCGTGAACGGATGAAAGAGGACGACACGAATATAGGCAATGAGAAGAGGTAGCACACCTCTCGCTCCTTCACTTGCAGCTGGTGCACGTATGCGACGCCAGCGACAGTCGCGAGAACAGTTACACCTAGCAGCACCTTCGCACGCCTACTGGACATGTCGCAGACAATGCCTTGGGGCAGCAAGGATCCGATTGGGAAACGACAGTATATAGGGAAAGGAGCGCAGGAAGCTGGTTGCGTGTGAGGTGCGACAAGCTTGAAGCACGAGCAGGCAAACACAGCAACCTTGGGATTCCCGAAACTGTGGTGGAATGAGCAGGAGAGTGCTAGAGTGGAAGTCCCATCCCATTCGTTCGCCCTCACGAATGTGGAGGTGCAGACCTCGACTCGTTATAGGCGCTCGCAATACCACCTCGAGATTTCTTCATAACCTAGCGCAGAAGCACTTTGTGCTCATGTTGAAAGCCCGAGGTCAGCATGGTAAATTTTCAAGTTATGTGGGGTTGAAACAGTCTGGCGAAAATAATGATATCGTGTATTTCGAAAATGTGTGTGGGGCGAAAGCGAATTCAGGAGGCGGGTAAAACAGCCTTCGCCACGATACTATGCGACAGCTGTTTCCAAGGATATGGGAGGGCCGAACGACTGTGTGTGTGACAGAGCACTGCTCCAGCCCCACCACTGCTGCTGGCGCTTCTCTTGGGGTTGAAATGGTGGGCAACGCGAAACTCACGCGAGTGAGAGTAAGGCAGTACACTGAACACTACTTTTACAATATCTAAATTACTAAATGTCTGGATGCTTTTGAGACTTCACTTCAGAAAAACACAACATATGTGCTGAATAGGTGCAGAAAAGCATTGCAAGCAAATTGTGAATAAAAAATAATGAAATATCAAGAAACGCATTACCAATACATTTCGGGAACGCACTCTCTCAAGCTCAGATCCCTCAACTCATAAGGATCTCGGCCGGCCACATATCGACATGCCGTGCTGGTCCCTGCACCACTCTGCACTCCCCCGGCCCACAGCAGCGCAGACCTGACGTGCGCTGCCGCCATCATTTCTGCCAGCATGGTCTGCCCCCTCCCGCATCAATGCTCCGCGGCATCCTGCTGGGCAGCAGGGGAGGCTGAAGGCAGTTTCGGGAGGAGGCTGCTCACAGCTCCGCCAGCAAGCCTCAGGGCAGATTCACTCGAAGATCTGCTGGATGCGGTGCTTCGGTGGCCTGCCACGAGGAAGAGGGGGAGCAGAGGGGGAGGGAGTGGGGAGAGAGTGACGCTCATCACTAGTGCCAGGGGATCCAGTCATCGAAGAACTTCTGCATGCGCGTGCGTGTTGCTATGCACCGTGTAGAGAAGGGAAGGGGATGGGGGGAAGCAGGGAAGGGGATGGGGGGAAGCAGGGAGCGGGATGGGGGGAAGCAGGGAAAGGGATGGGGGGAAGCAGGGAAGGGGATGGGGGGAAGCAGGGAAGGGGATGGGGAGAAGCAGGGAAGGGGATGGGGAGAAGCAGGGAAGGGGATGGGGGGAAGCAGGGAAGGGGATGGGGGGAAGCAGGGAAGGGGATGGGGGGAAGCAGGGAAGGGGATGGGGGGAAGCAGGGAAGGGGATGGGGAGAAGCAGGGAAGGGGATGGGGAGAAGCAGGGAAGGGGATGGGGAGAAGCAGGGAAGGGGATGGAGGGAAGCAGGGAAGGGGATGGGGGGAAGCAGGGAAGGGGATGGGGGGAAGCAGGGAGCGGGATGGGGGGAAGCAGGGAGCGGGATGGGGGGAAGCAGGGAAGGGGATGGGGGGAAGCAGGGAAGGGGATGGGGGGAAGCAGGGAGCGGGATGGGGGGAAGCAGGGAAGGGGATGGGGGGGAGCAGGGAAGGGGATGGGGGGAAGCAGGGAAGGGGATGGGGGGAAGCAGGGAAGGGGATGGGGGGAAGCAGGGAAGGGGATGGGGAGAAGCAGGGAAGGGGATGGGGGGAAGCAGGGAAGGGGATGGGGAGAAGCAGGGAAGGGGATGGGGGGAAGCAGGGAAGGGGATGGGGAGAAGCAGGGAAGGGGATGGGGGGAAGCAGGTGAGGCAAAGGAGAATATATTGGGGGGTAAACGGAGCTGGTGGAAGTGAGGGAGGCTGGTAATAAAAAAAAGGGGTGTAAACAATTAGGGGGGAGTGAGATCGACAGGGAGAAGGAGTGAGGGGAGTACCCGCTCTCACCCTCTGTCGCTCACTCTCTGGGACACCCCCCCCCCCCCCCTGTTCCCCCCCCCTCCGTCCTTCCCCTGCTGTCTCTCCACCTCTGCCCTTCACCTTCTGTCTCTCACTCTCTGCCCCTCCCCCTCTGTTCCTCCCCTCCGTCCTTCCCCTTCTGTCTCTCCCCGTCTGCCCGTCACCCTCTGTCTCTCCACCTGTGTCCTTCCCCCCGTGTCTCTCCCCCTCTGTCCTTAGCGAAAAAGGGAGGGAGAGAGGGAAGAGAGAGAGAAAGGCAAGAGAGCGAGAAAGGGAAGAGAGGGAGAGGGAGAGAGGGACAGAGGAATGAAGGTAGAGAGCAAGGTAGGGAGGGACGGAGGGAGAGAGGAAGAGAGGGGAGAAAGAGGGATGGAGGGAGGAAGCTTGGGCGAAATGAAGAGGCGGGGGCGACGAGAAGAAGCGCGCGCGGGCGACGAGGAGAAGCGCGCGCGGGCGACGAAGAGAAGCGCGCGCGGGCGACGAAGAGAAGCGCGCGCGGGCGACGAGGAAAAGCGCGCGCGGGCGACGAGCAGAAGCGCGCGAGGGCGACGGATCAGGGTGCGCGCGCGGGCGACGAGGAGAAGCGCGGGACGGTGGGAAGCGCGGGCGACGAAGGAAAGCGAGAGAGACGAGTGGGAGATATGGTGACCCGAGCAAGTGTGGGTGACGAGAAGAAGTGCGGGTGTCGCTTTTCTGCCAGTCTCACGAGGGTAACGCGCTCTCGTCATACTAAATCCCTTGAGTGTGGCAGCTCATGCCATTTACGAGCATTGCTCGTGTCGTGCGCTAGCACGGGTAGCGTCCCTGGCATGCGAAAGAGGTACGGTGAGCGCTTGGCTTGAAGTTGTGCTGCTCAGCGATTGGACAGACAGCGTGAGTGCCTCGTGTTGCATGGAGAAAGTCGCCTTTACTTGAGCTAGCTTCTATCGCCCTGCCGCGCGTTTCCTAGAACTGTCCCTATTCTAGCAGACTAGTACTACTAGGTCTTCAAGATATGTGAGAGGTGCTCACGGCAATATTGTGGGCGATGGTCGGAGGTGTTGTGCGACTGGGCACGGAAACCAATCAGGAGTGAGGTCGCAATAGGTTTTCCCTGAGTCGCGAGTTGTTTTTCAAACCAGAGAGGGTTACCCTGTTTTTTGCGACTTCAAATTCAAGAATCTTGAACTTGAAAAATACCATGCTGTACCCGGGCTTTAATTCCGAATTTCCCGCCAAGTCATGGTCACTCGAGCTTACGTGCTCCGCGTTGACGATCCAAAATGCTGCGCAGCAATCGACGCGTAGGAATGCGAGTTTTCGTCCTCGCGGCGATAGCAGCTGTCTGTATTCCGTGGGGCATCCTCGTTGCCCGCTCATACCTCGCTGTCTCCCGTCTTCACTCACTCTCCTCACGTAAGCGTGCCGAGCAGACGGACCGCGTTTTGGGCACATTCGCTGATTGGCGCTTGATTTCATCGCATATCCTAGCTGCGTTGCCAAGTCTGCCTACAGATTGGCTGTTCTTCCGCAATTCCAGCGCCATGCATCCTCTCCACCTACAGATTGGCCCGATGGACCGGTTGGACCAACCGGCCTATTGGCCCAATGGACCGGTTGGACCAATCGACAGGTTGGCTCGATGGATCGGTTGGACCAACCGGCCTATTAGCCTGATAGACCGGTTGAACCAGCTAGCCTGTTGGCCTGATGGGCCGGTTGGACCAGCTAGCCTGTTGGTCCGATGGACCTGTTGGACCAGATGGCGTATTAGTCTGATGGGCCGACTGTACCAGCTGGGCTGTTGGTCCGATGGACCGGCTAGACCGGCGGACATGTTGGGTCGGTGGACCGGTTTGACCAACTGGCTTGTTGGTTCGATGGATTGGTTTGACCAACCGGCCTGTTGGCCCGATGGACCAGTTGGACCAACTGAGCTGTTGGCTCGATGGACCTGTTGGACTAGCCAGGCTGTTGGCCCATGAACCGGTTTGATTAACCGGCTCGTTGGCCCGATGGAGCAGTTGGACCAACCGGCATGTTGACCTAATGGACCTCGGTTGGACCAGCTGGCCTGTTGGGACATTGCGCGTCCGAAAAACTGAAACGAGGGGGAGCGAAAAACACGGAACCGGTTTTACGTACCCAAAATCGATGTTTCACTGTGTCGCCCCCGCGGTTTTTGAAGACTCTGTTTTAGCGGTCGAAAAACTTTCGCGTGTAAACGGGCTCTGATACCAAGTGTGAGGATCTAGGATCGAGCTCAGAAAAGAGAGTTTGAATTGAATGAATCACCTGGGTACAACACAAGGCTATATATAGGCTCGACACAAGGCCCAGTAACTAGATGTTACGCGAAGGTTCTGAGGGGGCGAAGCGTCCCGAACAGAGCCTTCCCGAATTCGGTAGAAAGCAATTCGGTGACAACCGAAAAGCCAGAATTCGGTGCACGCAACCTAGTTCGGTGCTATAACTATAATAAAATATAGGAAAGCACCTAGCCTAGGAAATCAAGCAATTTATGCATGCATATAATTATCCTATGCTAGAAATAACATAATAAAGTAAAGGCTAGCAAGCATAGCTGGCACAAGCCGTCGTACTCTCACAAACCGGGCTGTTGGCCCGATGGACTGGTTGGACCAACCGGCCTGTTGGCCCAATGGACCGATTGGACCAACTGACCTATTGGTCCAATGGACCGGTTGGATCTACTGGTTGAACCAGCTGGCCTGTTGGTCCCATGGACCAGTTCGACCAGCTTTCCTGTTGGCTCTATGGACCTGTTCGACCAACCGGCCTGTTGGCCCGATGGACCAGTTGCACTTGCGGGGCTGTTGGTCAGATGGACCGGTTGGACCAACCGGGCTGTTGGCCCGATGGACCGGTTGGACTAGCCGGACTGTTGGCCCGATGGACCGGTCAGACCAATCGGCTTGTTGGCCTGATTGACTGTGAGGATCTAGGATCGAGCTCAGAAAAGAGAGTTTGAATTAAATGATTCACCTGGGTACAACACGAGGCTATATATAGGCTCGACACAAGGCAGGTAACTCAGATGTTACGCGAATGTTCTGAGGGTCGCGAAGCGTCCCGAACAGAACCTTCCCGAACTCAGTAGAAAGCAATTCGGTGGCAACCGAAAAGGCTTGAGTTCGGTACACGTAACCTGGTTCTGTGCTATAACTATAATAAAGTATAGGAATGCACCGAACCTAGGAAATCAAGCATATCTATGCATGATAAATGATACCCAAGCTAGATATAGCATAATAAAGTCTAGGCAAGCTAGCAAAGCCAGCATAAGCCGTCGTACTCTCACATTGACCAATTGGACCAATGTCACCGCATATGCAATTTATGCATATACAATAACAGTATAATAAAGGTGTAGGAGGCAGAATAGTATATTAGGATTTATGCACTTAATGCATATATAGCTACACTAGCATGGGGCGCGGAATGTAGTATAGTAACGGTTGCAATAGGCAAAAGAGGGGGGAACAAAAAGGGGATGATTGGAATTACGGGGGAAAGCACCAAGGGGCAAAATGGGAAACCAAATCCTCACCCCAAGCCGCGCATTGGGAAATGTGCAGCCTGCGGTGAGTATGGGTAAGGTAATTCACATTCACCCACTCGATGCTTGTTTCTTAGTATTCTCTCATATCAGTGGAAGTTAGCACTTTTTCAGCTCTTAGCACACAGTGGTACGCCACGAGGAGGGAACCAGTCGGGTGAGGGAGCGATCCCGTTCATACTAAGAAACAAGCGTAGGCACGTAGTATGGATGAGTATGAGTTGCGATGGGGTTGGGCCTTCACTTATCGAGAGGAGGAAGGGCCGCGGCATGAGCGCTCGCAGGAGCGCGGGCGTTCCCTAAAAAGATCGCCCCGATGGCCGGCCTTCCGTGCAGATAGAGTGCCCGTCGTGCCAGCCATCTGAGAGAGATAGGCGGCGCAAGGCGTATCTGGTGGCGGCAGACTCGATACATGGACGGGCGGCGCGCCATGGCGAAGAAACACGTCCCACCTGCGCGGCGATGAGCACCGCCACCCCCGCGACGAAGGGGCGTTCCGCTCCTAAGAAGGGGGAGACCGGCGACGTGATGAGCGAGGTCGCTGGCGTGGGAGGGAGGAACTCCGGCGGGAGCGAGGAGAAGGCTCGGGCATCCGCCGGGCCAAACAGGATCCGCGGTCCGAGCTGACGCAGGAGGAGAGTGACGAGGAGGCTGAGCAGGAGTACGGCGACGGGCCGGCGTACGACGATGGGCAAGGGTGCGACGACGAGCGGGAGCACGGTGACAAGCAGGAGTACGGCGACGAATAGGAGCATGGCGAGGAGCAGGAGCACGGCAACCCGCAGCAAGATTGCGACGAGCAGACGCGCGCGAAACTCTACGTCCCGAGCTGAGCCGAGGAGGGAGACCACGCGCCCAGCGCGAAAACACGCCGACACCGCGGCGACAGCGGAGGAGGAAGAGGGAGAGGCGCGAAAGGAGGGGTCACGTGCCACGGACCCCAACCGTCTGGAAGGGCAGTCCGCCCGCGATGCGCGGCAGCAGGAAGGCCGGACTCGTGAGGGAGAGGCACTCGCGGTGCAGCCGCAAGGAATGCGCGGACGGAGCGAGGCGGAGGACAGGCGCACGACAGGAGTCCAGCGACTGCGGGCGGAACTGAGGGACGGAAGCTCGCGCTCGTCCAGAGAAGCGCCGCCGAGGGCCGAGCGGTACGGGGACGCGGAAGGAAGGCGGAGAGGAGTGGAGGAGAATATGGTCCGCTCAGCGGCTTGACCGCAGGCACATGGAGGAAGCCGTGGCGGGGAGCATCGCTCGCCAGAGACGCAGCGGCACTGGGAGGGGCGTCGGAAGGGAGGATCACGCTCACCGCACAGGCGGCAGCAGTGGGGGGAAGGGCCCAGAGGAGAGTTGCGGTTGCCCGACCGGCGCCGTGGTTTCGTTCCTCGCGATATTTCTTCTCGCCGCGTCCCTCGCGCCGGGTCATGCGGCGGATTCCGATGACTCCGCCACGGCCGCGCCTCCGCGATTCGCGCGCGCGCGGCTGAGGCGGACGGGGGAGCTCACGCTCGAACGCATCGCGGCGCAGCGCGAGTGGCTATCGTCCGCTGCGTTCAAGCAGCGCCTTCTCTCCGCCAGCGTTCTCCGCGCGGACGGCGCAGAAGTCGGCGCAAGCGGCGGCGAGCGCGGGCCGGACGTGGTGCCGCTGAACAATTTCATGGACGCGCAGTATTACATGGAGATTGGGATTGGATCGCCGCCGCAAACGTTTAAAGTCGTGCCCGACACCGGCAGCAGCAACCTCTGGGTGCCCTCGCGCCGCTGCTACCTCTCCGTACGATCTGCTCTCCTCGTTACCATCTCTCGTATCCATCTCTCCTTATAATCTCTCTCGTTATAACCCCCCTGGAGCTGCTGCATCATCCCCGTGTCTTCCCTGTTGTCCACTTTCTCCCCGCCTCCTTCACCTCCATCCATATTACTCAAATATTTTCGCGATTCTCGCGCTAAGAGCACACCCTGTAACTAATTCATCCCTCCCCTCCCGTTCCCTTCCCCTTTTCTCCCGCCTTCCCGCCCCTCCCTCCTTCCCCGCTGCCTTTACCCTCTCGCCCCACTCCTTCTCGCTTCTCTCCTCTCTTTCCCGCCCCTGCCTCTCTTCCTCCCACACCCCCCCTCCCCTTCCCCCCCCCCCCCCCCCCCCCCCCCCCCTCCCCCCGCGCAGCTGGCGTGTCTGAACCACGCCAAGTACGATTCGCGCAAGTCGCGCTCGTACGAGGCGGACGGCACGCCCTTCGCCATCCAGTACGGCAGCGGCGCCATGAAAGGCTTTCAGTCCAAGGACGATGTGACTATCGGCGACGTGACTATAACGGGGCAGACCTTCGCGGAGGCCACCAGCGAGCCCGGCCTCGCGTTCTTCGCGGCGAAATTTGATGGAATCATGGGGCTGGGCTTTAAGGAGATCTCCGTGAACGGCATCGTGCCGCCGTGGTACAACATTTTGTCGCAGGGGCTGGTTCCCGAGCCGGTTTTTTCGTTCTGGTTTAATCGGGATCCCGAGGGGGCGGCGGGCGGCGAGGTGGTGTTTGGGGGAGTGGATGAGGCGCATTACAAGGGCGCGCACTCGTGGGCGCCTGTTAGCAGACGCGGGTACTGGCAGGTGCGTGGGGAAGGGGGAGAGGGGAATGTGGGAGGGGAAAGGCGGGGGGGAGAGAGCGGTTGAGAGGGGGGTGCGCGCATAAGCATGGCAAGGGATGCAATTGGCTGGCATGACTGGTATGGCATGTTATTGTATATCAAGGGAGTGGGGATGGCATGCATGTAGAGTGGACGTTCATGCACCAATTGGGCATCCTGGCTGCAAGTTGCTTCTTGTGCTGGAATTTAGGGGTTCCAGTCTTTAAGCAGGAGAGTAGAGAGTTTTTTATCGTGACTAAACCATCCACATTTGTCTGTGCGGGTGTTGTGTGTGCTCATCGTGTACCTGCACATGTGTGTACATACGGGTGTGTGCATGTATCTCTGTGCACGTATGTGTGTGCATGTGTTCATGTGCATGCGTGCATGTGTGCATGCGGCCATGCAGTTCGACATGGGAGATGTGCTCATCAACGGCTCCACCACCAGTGAGTCATGCCTCATGCTTCATGCCTCATGCCTCATGCCTCATGCCTCATGCCTCCCTTTCGTGTTTTTAGCTGCCCTGCGCCAAGCTTAGCATAAGAATTTGTGTCTCTCTATGCTCTCCCTTGACCTTCCATGCCCTTGAATCTGTTTGACTCGTTGAGCCAGAATCACTGCACGCTTCTCCTTTTTGTGTACCGAGTGTGGACGCATATCATCTTATTTCTCATGCATATTCACTCTTCTCCCGTTTCTCACCTTCTCGCCTTTTCTCTCCTCTCTCGTTCTCTCCCGCGCTTTCCCTGCCCTCTCCTCCCCATCAGGCATCTGCAAGCGCGGCTGTGCTGCTATCGCTGACACTGGCACCTCTCTCATCGCAGGCCCGTCGGTGCGCCTCCTTTCCCACCCTTGCTTACAAATCTCTCTCCCTAATTGCTGGTCCCTCGGTGAGCCGTTTTTGCACCCCCTGCTCACTCTCCGAAGGACTTTCCCCTCGTGCCTGTACCATCAGTTTTTTTTCTCGGAAACCATACCCTCCTTTATCCCCCTCTTCCCCGCCCCTCTTCCCTCACCCCTTCTGTCCTTCATTCTTCCCCAGCCATTGTTATCCTCCTCCCTTCCCCCATGCACCCTTCTCCACCTCTCATGTTCCGTCTGCTATTCCCCCCCCCTGAATTCCACCTCCACATTAAGCTCCCGTGAATTACCTCTAAACAACGGCCTTGTATTCCCCCGTTTATCCCCCCCACGGCAGGCGGTGATAGCGGAGATCAACGCAGCCATCGGAGCCAAGGGCGTGCTGAGCGAGGCGTGCAAGCAGCTGGTGCACGACTATGCAGTCATTATCATTGACCTGCTCGAACAGAAGGTGCGTGTGAGAAGGTGCAGTACGTTACGAGGGCAACTATTGTGCCTCCAAAGCGTGCAAGCAGCTGGTGCATGACTATGCTGTCATCATCATTGACCTGCTGGAACAGAAGGTGCGTGTGATAAGAGCAAGCATGGTGGGATCTGGTACGCGTCTCACAGAGCATGCAAGCAGCTGGTGCACGACTATGCCGTCATTATCATCGACCTGCTGGAACAGAAGGTGCGCATGCAAGGATGCAGAGTGACTAGGGAAGCCATTCTGCCTCAAAAGCGTGCAAGCAGCTCGTGCACGACTATGCAGTCGTCATCATCGACCTATTGGAGCAGAAGGAGCGTGACATTGATCCTGCCATCACCACTCTCATACAAGCCATGCGTCCTTCGCCCTCTGACAGCATGCTGCTTGCAAGCACTCATCTTCCCCCTACAGCATGCTGCTTGCAAGCACTCATCTTCCCCCTACAGCATGCTGCTTGCAAGCACTCATCTTCCCCCTACAGCATGCTGCTTGCAAGCACTCATCTTCCCCCTACAGCATGCTGCTTGCAAGCACTCATCTTCCCCCTACAGCATGCTGCTTGCAAGCACTCATCTTCCCCCTACAGCATGCTGCTTGCAAGCACTCATCTTCCCCCTACAGCATGCTGCTTGCAAGCACTCATCTTCCCCCTACAGCATGCTACACCTACCCAACCTCTCTTCCACCACCTTCAGATGGGACCTTCCCTTGTATCTCATCCCATCCGCCTCTCTGTGGCAGCATGGCTGCAAGCGTCCTTTATCATTCATCATCTCGCTCCGCCTGCCTCCCACCCCTTTCCCCCATCCACCACGCGCACATCCCCCATTGCCTCCCCATGCGATCAGATGGACCCCTCCCTTGTGTGCCATGCCATCGGCCTGTGTGATGACATGGCTGCAACCACCGCTCACACCACGCCCACGCCCAGGTCACCACTCTCCCTCTACTCTCTCTCCTCCCTCTACTCTCTCTCCTCCCTCTACTCTCTCTCCTCCCTCTACTCTCTCTCCTCCCTCTACTCTCTCTCCTCCCTCTACTCTCTCTCCTCCCTCTACTCTCTCCCCTCCCTCTACTCTCTCTCCTCCCTCTACTCTCTCTCCTCCCTCTACTCTCTCTCCTCCCTCTACTCTCTCTCCTCCCTCTACTCTCTCTCCTCCCTCTACTCTCTCTCCTCCCTCTACTCTCTCTCCTCCCTCTACTCTCTCTCCTCCCTCTACTCTCTCTCCTCCCTCTACTCTCTCTCCTCCCTCTACTCTCTCTCCTCCCTCTACTCTCCCTCCCTTCCCCCCCCTCTCTCTCCTCCCTCTACTCTCTCTCCTCCCTCTACTCTCTCTCCTCCCTCTACTCTCTCTCCTCCCTCTACTCTCTCTCCTCCCTCTACTCTCTCTCCTCCCTCTACTCTCTCTCCTCCCTCTACTCTCTCTCCTCCCTCTACTCTCTCTCCTCCCTCTACTCTCTCTCCTCCCTCTACTCTCTCTCCTCCCTCTACTCTCTCTCCTCCCTCTACTCTCTCTCCTCCCTCTACTCTCTCTCCTCCCTCTACTCTCTCTCCTCCCTCTACTCTCTCTCCTCCCTCTACTCTCTCTCCTCCCTCTACTCTCTCTCCTCCCTCTACTCTCTCTCCTCCCTCTACTCTCTCTCCTCCCTCTACTCTCTCTCCTCCCTCTACTCTCTCTCCTCCCTCTACTCTCTCTCCTCCCTCTACTCTCTCTCCTCCCTCTACTCTCTCTCCTCCCTCTACTCTCTCTCCTCCCTCTACTCTCTCTCCTCCCTCTACTCTCTCTCCTCCCTCTACTCTCTCTCCTCCCTCTACTCTCTCTCCTCCCTCTACTCTCTCTCCTCCCTCTACTCTCTCTCCTCCCTCTACTCTCTCTCCTCCCTCTACTCTCTCTCCTCCCTCTACTCTCTCTCCTCCCTCTACTCTCTCTCCTCCCTCTACTCTCTCTCCTCCCTCTACTCTCTCTCCTCCCTCTACTCTCTCTCCTCCCTCTACTCTCTCTCCTCCCTCTACTCTCTCTCCTCCCTCTACTCTCTCTCCTCCCTCTACTCTCTCTCCTCCCTCTACTCTCTCCCCTCCCTCTACTCTCTTTCCTCCCTCTACTCTCTTTCCTCCCAAACTCCGCCACGCCTCTCTCCCCTTTCTCCTGATGCCTCTACCCGCACTCACTCACTGCCCTCCCTCTCTCCTCTCGTATCAGACTGTGTCTCTACTCGTTTTCTTCATCTCCCCTCTGGTTCTTAAGTCGCCTCAAATTTGTTTTGCTGCTGCTTGCTTTCCTCATCCCCCTCTGCCAGCATGAGCCGCCGCCTGCTTGGGTGGGAGGAGGACCCAATTATCCAGATGCCCGGGGACCACGCTGACGGTGAGGCGAGTGGCAGCAGCTGCAACGGCGGGCGAGTGGGCGATCCCAAGTGTTCGCTGTGTGAGGCGACGGTGATCTGGGTGCAGAACCAGCTGGCGAGGAACAAGACGCGGGCTGAGATCATCAGCCACCTCAACAAGGTGCTTCTCCCTCTCTGCCATCCTCCCATTCTGCTAAACCTTAAACCCAAGATTCCAACACCTGTTTCAGGCATTTTAGAATACAGCATTTTCTCTGCTCCCCACCCCCCTTACCCTCCCCACCCCCCTTACCCTCCCCAACCCCCTTACCCTCCCCTCCCCCCTTACCCTCCCATCCCCACCCCTGTCCATCAGATGTGTGAGCACATTCCAAGCCCAGGCGGGCAGGCGCAGGTGGATTGCAACAAGGTGCACAAGATGCCAGTGGTGGCGTTCACCATCGGGGACAAGCAGTTTGCGCTACAGCCGGAGCAGTACGTGCTACAGGCGGGGCAGGGCGGCCAGCAGCTCTGCATCAGCGGCTTCCTGCCCCTCGATGTGCCCGAACCCCTGGGTCCCATCTGGTGAGTTGCGGTGTGGGTCTGTGTTGACGTGCATGCAAGTCTCTGGTGCGACTCCTCCAAGTGTCCTTTAACAGCAGGGACAGCACCATGAGCAGCTCTGCAGCAGTACGTGCTACAGGCGGGGCAGGGCGGCCAGCAGCTCTGCATCAGCGGCTTCCTGCCCCTCGGCGTGCCCGAACGCCTCGGCTCCATCTGGTGAGTTGCGGTGTTTGTCTTTGTGTCGCCAAGGGTATAAGCAGCAGCAGCAGCAGCAGCAGCACCAGCACCAGCAGCACCATGTGGCTTCCTGCCCCTCTATGTGCCCGAACCCCTCGAACCCATCTGGTGAGTGAAGGGGTGTGTGTCTGTGTTGACATTCGAACAAGTCTTAGTGACGTGGCTCCGATTCATTGACTCTCTCTCTGCCAATGATTCATTGATTCATTGGCAGCAGCACCAGTGCTCCCCGATGAGCACCAGTGCTCCCCGATGAGCACCAGTGCTCTTTCCACTATGAGCGAAGCAGCACCAGTGCTCCCCGATTGTCTGCCAAGTCACCCCCTCGCCCGCTCCCCCTCCCCACCCATCTTCCCACCCTCCTAATGCCAGGATTCTGGGAGACACATTCCTGGGGGCATACCACTCGGTGTACGACTTTGGCAATGAGCGCGTGGGCTTTGCTGAGTCGGCGTGATGGAGGGGCAGTGGTGCTGCTGTGCTGAGTCAGCATGGCAGTGGTGGTGAGCTGGTTCAGGATCCTGGGGCAGCAGCAGTGCGTTGCTGAGTCAGCATGGTGGAGCAGAATGTGTGCATTCCTAGGTGAATGCACGTCACATTCTGTGTTGTGCCGTGTTTGGTGTGGCACGTGGTTCATGGACGTGGTGTACATTTAGGCAGGAAACAGTTTCTAGTGGATATGGTACAGTAATAGGTTTCCAATTTCGTTGCGCATGCATATGCACACTCATGTTCTTTAGGGCATTGTGAGTGTGAGCGCGACTAATCAACACGAAATGTAAGACAATGTTCCTCTCCAACCCATGACATGAAAAAGAAAAGTCCCTGAGTTGAGCCTCCTCTAGGCAATTTCTTGTACTGTACTGTCTCAGATTGTCCCAGGTTGCTATGCCATAGTGCTGGACAATATTAAAACCTGAAAAGTTATGCATCAATCCATGCTACCAGCTTATTGAAGGTTAACAAAGGACAGACTAGCATACGTGCTTTTCAAATGAAGGGGGAACTGCGAGTGCTCTAGAAACTACAGTAAGGGATTGCTTGCTCAGGCTGCACACAGCAAGCCGCATCCCTTGCTTGGCCTCAGCGCAGGCCCAGCAGTAATAATAAAAAGGGTTACATGCGCTAGAGGGCTTTTAGTTGTCTGGTTGACTGAGGCTGGTGCGCGTTACAAGGATAATTAGATACAAGAACTACAGTTGGTTTGCAGGAGTGGGGCTGGGGACTGGTGTGCTTGTTACTTGGGGGTTGGGTGAGGTGGAGGAACAAAGAAAAAGGTGGCAGGATGGGCATGTAATCAGATACGAGTCAACTGGGCAAGGGAGAGAGAGGTAGGCGGAGGTAGGTGCATGTTAGTTGCAGCCGAGGGGCAGCAGGAAGGATGTCAGTTGCAGCAGAGGGGGAGGAGGGATGTGAGTTGGAGGAGAGAAGGGGAGGAGCGTCAGTTGGAGAAGGCAACGAGCGCCAGCAGCTTCCGCAATCGCTCGTCTTTGCACACCTGGTTCAACCTCTCCTGTGTCACCGCCCTGCTCGCACAGAGACACACAAGGGCGGGGGGGGGGCAGGGTGGAAAGGTGGGGGGCGGCAGGGTGGATTGAGGGGAGAGCACAGGGGAGACAAAGGGAACGAGTTAGGAGAAGGATAAAAGGGGTCGAATCAAGAAGGGGGAGTGGAGAGTGAAGGAGTTTCGTTTAGAATGTCATATTTCGGCCACAAATCCATTGGTGCAGCACTCACTTTTGCCTGGAGACCCGAGCCCAGTACTCTGACTTGACTATGGCCCGCTTGAGCTGCGGCCACAGCAGCAGGCAGTCCTGACACGCTGGTGGGCGGACACGAGGGGAGAAGGGGGAGAGGCGGAAGTGGGGGAGAAGAGTCAGGCATTTGACATCATGTGAGATTGTGGGGAAGGCGGGTGGAGCATTCGACGAAAGGTCACTCTGCGTGAAAGTATGAGACCCAATAGCTCTCTCTCTTCAATCTCCAACAACTCACATCCCAGCGTGACGTCCCACAGCTCTTTAATCTCGGTCTCGCTGCTGAAGGAGTTGCAGTTGCGGTGCCCAAACTCCAGGAACTTGACGATCACCGCCAGCGAGGCCGGCAGCTTCTTGTACGTGGCCAGGTCCAGCTTCTTCTTGACAATGTCCTCTGATGACAGCTGCAGCATGGACACATTGACGCACGCTGCCATTGCTAGAGTCTTGTACGTGATCTTTGGGTCCGTGCCTGTGAGGAAGGAGAGGGAGAGGGAGGAAAAGGGAGGGCGAGGTGGCGGAGGGAAGGCATTGAAACAGGTCGAGCTTCTTCTGCACAATGTCCTCCGAGGACAGCTGCAGCATGGACACGTTCACACATGCCGCCATCACCAATGTTTTTATGTTATCTTTGGGTTGGTGCCTGGAGGAGAGGGGAGAGGGAGGGGGCCGGGGTGAAGGGCAAGGGGAGACGGGCAGCTTCTTGTACGTGGCCAGGTCCAGCTTCTTCTTGACAATGTCCTCGGAGGATAGCTGCAGCATGGACACGTTGATGCATGCCGCCATCGCTGGAGTCTTATATGTGATCTTTGGGTCCGTGCCTGGAAGGGAGGGTGGGGGGGAAGGAGCGAGGGAGGGGGGAGGGAGGTGAGGTGGAGGAGGTAAGAGGGAAGAGAGATGCAGAGAGTCGAGGAGTAAAGAGGAAGGGAGGTAAAAAGGAAGGGATGGACAGCCATCACATGATGTCGCATGTGGTAATGGACAGTAAATCACATCATGCGAGTGAAATCAATTTTCCAAACATCATGTATAGACAACCCTCCATAGATAGTGTGGCAATAAAGCATGTGATAGCAACACTCATACTGTGTAACGTGTGCTAGTTGGCAATCACATGCTGTAGCAGGTCGGAGGGAGGGAAGGGTGAGGGTGGTGCTTACTCTTGACGCTGCTCCATGCGGATTTTGAACCGACTCAAAGTCACCTCGTGTGAATCAACTAAAAAGTGTCCAAGGGTGGGGGCGGTGCTTACTCTTGACGCTACTCCATGCTGCCATGGATGCCAGCAGTGGCACAAAGTCATGCGGGTCGACAGGCACCTTGATGTTCCGCCTCTGCATTTGGGTGGGTTGCATTGCATGGTGGGACGGTGGGGATGGGATGGTGGGGATTGTGGGGATAACAGCAGAGAAAGTAGCCAGTCAGGAAGACAGCACAAAGTCATGCAGGTCCAGAGGCACCTTGATGCTGCGCCTCTGTGATGTGTGCATTGCACGGTGGTGGGGTGGTGCGGATGACAGCAGAACAAGAAGCCAGTCAGGAACGGCAACACAAGCCAACCAGCCTACATGGCTGAATGCACGGCACAGTGGCACATGGGTGAAAGCATAGCAGTGCATATAAGCGAACTGGGTTGATGAGAGGCGAGACGGCTTGACTCACAAAGGAGAAGAGGTTGAGGATGACGTCAGCGGCCTGCATGAGGCTGGTCTGCCCCTCCGCCCCCGACCGCAGCTGCCCCGTCATGTTAGTGCGCCCCGTCTCCGCCACGTACTCGATCAGCTGGGTGGGGGGGAGGGAGGAGGGGGGGGGGGGAGGGGAGGGGGGAGGGGGAGGACAACAAGGGTGGATGGAGGAGGGTGCGAGGAGCAAGGCGAATGGAGGGCGTGTGCCATGTTGGTGGGCCCCGTCTCCGCCACCTACTCGATCAGCTGGGAAGGGTGGGGAGGAGGGGGGAGGGGGGAAGGGGGGGGTTGGGGGGTCAGGAAGGAGAGGGGGGACAGGCGAGGAGGGGGTGTGTGGGGAGGTGGTGAGTCATGTTCGGGGTAGTGGATGCTCTGCTTGAAGAGGAAGCAGATTCCAAAGGAGAGCGGTGCCAAGGACAGTGTGAGTGTGATAGGCGCGAGCGAGGGTGTGCAATGGATGAGGGAGAGGGGGGTGAAGGAGAGGGGCGAAGGAGAGGGGCGCTCACGAAGCGGTGGCCTCCGCGTTTGAGGATGGAGTTGCAGCCACGAGGCTCACTGCTCATGTGCACCAGCGCGGGCAGCAGGTAGCGCGACGCCAGTAGAGGCCTGCCATGATGGCGGGAGGAAGGGGGGAGAGTGGAGGGTCAGTTGAGGGGGAAGGGGCGATTAGGAGGAGCGGGATGGAGCCTGGAGGAGTGAGGAGGCACCACGATGCAAGGAGAGGCATGTAGACAGAGCGTGCAGGTGATGACAGACAATCAGCCCTTGTCTGATCACACGTGTCACACGGCAGTCTGGCTGTAAGGCCCCTCAGAACATATCCATCCACAGCCTCGTCTGTCCGCCTCCTCTCCTTGGGTGCACTCCCACCTAGCACCAGTACTACCACCAGCAGCAGCATGAGCTTGCTCACCTGTCCTCGTCCTCGCCCTTGACGCCCAGCATGAAGCCCAGCAGTAGGAGGCTCTTCTCTCCTTCTCCTCTCCTTTGCTGCACTCCCACCTACCACCTACCACCTACCACCAGCAGCAGCAGCGCTCACCTGTCCTCGTCCTCCCCCTTGACGCCCAGCATGAAGCCCAGCAGCCGCCCCACCCTCTTGCGATGCGCTGATGGCGCCACCGCCAGATAGCTGCCGGGGGAATGGAAGAGTGGGGAAATAGGGGGGAGGGGGAAGGAGGGAAAGGAAGGGAAGGGGGTTTGAAGTGGGGAGAAAAGGTGGGTCAGTCACAGGTTGGGGAGGGAGGTATGTACTGTGGTATCAAATGATATGATGATGCAATGAGATGCAGTGCTATGCTATGTGATGTCATGTGATGGGATATGCCAGATGGGTTGCGATACAATGTGTTGTGCTGTGCTGTGTATCGTTGCGATGTGATCGCGGGCGGTGCAATGCTGGTCTCTAGAGTGGGGAAAGCAGGGCGCAAGGGTGCCAGCAGCAGTACCTTCCGAGCACTTTGACGGCAGACAGAACTCCATCATGTGAATACCGCTCCCGCTCCTGCTCACAGAAACGCATGCAAGGGAGCAAGAGGGCGCAATGATGCACACAGAAGCAGACGAAGGCACAGTAATACACGAAGAACTATTTCACACACAGCTGCACTGAGTGACTTGTTAAGTCGACGTACAAGCAGCACCACACATGCCTGTTCCATCTCTCTCACCTGGGCGAGCTGCAGGAAGATGAGCACGTCCTTGATAATCGCATCCACCAGCTTCACACACGCCTGCACCGCCTCCGCCCCTAGCCTCTTCACCACCGTCGCCACTTCCTTCCCCTCCTCCTCCCCGCCCTTCTCCTCCCCGCCCGCTCCCCCCTTCCCCTTCCCTTTCTCCACCTCCGCAGCAGCCCCAGCCAGGGCCGCAATCACCTTCTCAACCAGGCAGTAACAGTCCCCCAGCACCCGATACAGCCTCTTCACCTCCTCGGGAGGGCCAGTCTCCTCCGGAACCTCCTCCTCTATCTGCAACAGCGACGGATCATCGTCATTATCCTTTGGCGGCTCCCACACCATTTCATTCACCACGGATCGCCAGTCCTCGCTGGTGGGCACAAGCGATTGCATGCGTGTGATTTCCCCCTTGCCCAGCCCTCCTGCTCGCCCTAGCCCTCCTCCTGCCTTGCGGTCCAGATTGCCGCCCAGCGCCGCCCACGCGGCATCCGCATTCATTTTGCCCTTTTCCTCGCCGTCCATTTCGCCTTCCCCTTCGCCGCCCTCACCTCCCTCCCCACCCTCGCCCTCCTTCTCTGCCTCCTCCTCATTCTCAATCGTCAGCACTGCCAGCTCCTGTAACAACGGAGGCATTTCCACCTTCAGCGCCTGCAGCAGCACCAGCAGGAACCGATCAGCTGGCGACGGCGGCACCGCACTCAACCCATTCGCACCGCTCCCAGCTCCTCCCCCTTCCCCTGTCTCCACGAGCCAGGCCTCCCCTTGAATCTCAACCACCACTCGCACGAGCTGCAGAGCGTCTTTTCGAAACTCCTCCCCATTGCTGTCCAGGAGAATGTCTGCTAGGCCTGCCCGAATGTCGTGCGCCCACTGCCTGCCCTCGCTGCCTGAATCGAAGGTCTGGACCACCGATCTTACTGGCTCCTGGTGAGGGGCGCATGGAGCGCATGGAGAGAGGGGGGATAAGGGTAGTGGGGCCAATTTAAAGAACAAGAGACAGGCACCAGACCTGCCCGAATATCATGCGCCCACTGCCTGCCCTCGTTGCCCGAGTCGAAGGTCTGCACCACCGATCTCATTGGCTCCTGGTGAGGGGCGCATAGAGAGAGAGGCACAGCGGGACAGCAGAGGGGGATAAGGGCGGCGGCTGCACAGGAGTTTGAAATGATTCAGCAGCTCCACAAATGATTCTTCTGCCTCCCTTGCCTCGCCTCTCGACCTCTCCTGTCCTATCACTTAACTCCCGTCTACCTCTGCCTTCCTACCTCTGCCCTCGGACTACACAGGCACGCACGTACCGCAGGCTCTGAGGAGAGCATGGCTACGAGCAGCTTCAGCACTTCGTACTTGAGCATGTCCGTGCGCTGCGCCAGCTCCCGCGCTAGCGCCGGCACCTGTGATTCAGGATATAAGAATGGGGTTGGATGGAAAGGAAAAGGAGGAAAGAGGGAGAGAAAAGACGAAAGGAAGTGTAGACAGAATAAGAGCTACATACAATAGCATGTCAGTCAAGCACGTCCCATGCCTGTGCCATTTGAGATTCAAACGTCACCTTTTGAGTCAATCCTAAGGTCTATGCATAGCACTCAGCATTCACAGCAGCAGCAAGGTCATGTGTGCTCGTGTGTTCTCACCGTTGTTGGCACGTGGCACTTACAGCAGCGGCGAACTCGTGTTTGTACTCATACATCTCAATGTCAGACACGCCACTCATGAACAGGAACCCCAGCAGCTGGATGGCCGATGGTAGTGACTCGCACCCTGCAGTTAGGCAGGGGCGCCATTTGGGGCAGGTGAGGGCGGTGATGCGGTGTGCAGGGAAGGGGTGTAGGGGGGTGGGGATTGAAAAAAAGGGGAGGAGTGTTGAGTGTTTTCTTTCTGTCATCGTTCATACCTTTGCCAGAACGACGCACGCACCTGTCGTATGCTTCAAAACAACCCCTTTGCATACAAACCCTTGCATCCGACCCCTTCGATCCAACCCCCTGGACACGTAGGAGTCAACTTTTTAAGCCCCTCTCCCTGCTCCTCCTGCCCCAGCGCTCTCTTATACACCACCTGCCCTGCCCTATGCTATGCAGCAACGCACCTGGGCTGGAACGCTGAATATTCTCCGCCACCACTCCCAGCACGTCCGCGCCCTTGACTGCCTTGAGCCCCGCGTCTGACCCTGTCGCCACCCCCAGCAGACACTCATACGCATCCACCGCCACCACTGGGTCGTACCTGCTCGGAGCGTTGCAGAGGGCAACGACGGGGAGGGCAGGGGGTGAAGGGAGGGAAGGGACGGGCGGGAGGGTAAGGAGGCGTGTGAATGAGCTGGAGGGGGGATCATGGTCGTCCGCGCCCTTGACTGCCTTGAGCCCCGCGCCTGACCCGGTGGCCACCCCCAGCAGACACTCATACGCGTCCACCGCCACCACTGGGTCGTACCTGGTACAAGGGTTGACGGGCCAGGGGAGGGGAGGGAATGTGGGAAGGAAGGAAAGGGGTAAGTGAGAGTAAGGAGGCATGTGAATGAGCTGAGGGGGGGGGAAGGGGAGGGGGGGGGGGGGGGGGGGGAGTTGGGTAGAAGCACAACCGCGGCCACTGATTTGAGCCTCGCGGCAGACCCAGTGGCCACCCCCAGGAGACACTCATACGCGTCCACCGTCAGAACACATCAGAGCACAGGAGACAGATGCGGCAGAGGAGGACAGAGGGGGCGAGGCGGACTGACCCGTTGCGGATGAGTCCAACGAGGTGGGGCACGAGCAGTGTGGTCTGTGGCGCGTAGGCGAGGTCAGGCTCCTGCAGCAGCAGCGCCAGCACTGCCAGTGCAGCGTGCGCCAGCTCCTCCTCCTCCACCATGCCGTTTGACCCCGTGCTCCCTGAGCCAAGGAGAGGCGCGAGAACAACGGCAAGGATAAGAAGAGGGCGTTGAGACAGTCAAGCAGCAGCGTATAGGATTCATTGTCACTGCCAGCACTGCCAGTGCTGCGTGCACCAGCTCCTCCTCCTCCACCATGCTATTTGACCCCGTGCTCCCTGGGGTGGAGGGAGAGGCGCGAGAGAACAAGGGCAAGGGTAAGAGGAGCAAGCGCGTTATGGTTCAATCTCACAAGCGCGTTTCTCCTTCCATAGGTACACTCGGGTTGCATTGAAATCGTCGCCAGTAACCAGAAAGATAGCAATATTCGTGTGATATCCATTTTATCCCTTTCATTTCAGGAATCCCTTATTCCTGTAATTCCCACGGCACACACCTTCGGCCACGGCTGCCCGAGAGGCCTGCTGGAGGACAGCTATATTGGTGTTACCAGAATTCTATAAAAAAAAAAACCCACGGCAGCACACACCTTTGGCCACAGCCGCCCGGAAGGCGGCCTCTAGGAGAGAGAACGGGAGGGCGTCATAGACGTTGTTCATGTTGTCCACGTCACCAGATGCCACGTAGGCAAGCACTGCCACGAGGGCCATGGTGACCTTGCTCTTGTCGCCCGAGCCCAGCAGCGCCAGACACCTGTCCAGACTGTCCAGCATCACCGGCTCCTCCTCGGGTGATGCGGGCTGGGAGAGGTATGTGGGGAAGGGAAAGCGGGGCAAATGGAGGGGTCAGGACTCAGGAGAGAATAGAGTCAGCATAGCCTCGCACTTGCTCCATACTGCCCAACATCGCCGGTTCCTCCTCGGGTTATGCAGGCTGTTGGGAATAAGGGAGCAGGTTGGAAAAGGGGGTTTGGAGGTTCAGGGATTGCAGGGGACAGACGAGAATAGAGCCGGTATGACTTTGCTCTTGCTGCCTGAACCCAGTAGCGCTAGATGCCTGTCCAGGCTGCCCAGCAGCACAGGCTCCTTTGAGGTGAATGGGTGTGGGGGAGGCTGGGAGAATCAGAGTGACAAAAGGAGAGTATGATCGTTGTGGCGTCGATCACTGGTTACCAGTGCGTTCTTTATCCTTAGCACTAATACATAATACGAGTAACTCAAGCTTGTCATTGCCTTAGGCCTTGTCCGTACTCTGCCGGCGTCTCCCCCCGTCCCACACTATCACTCGCGCGCGCTCACCTGCGAGTCACCACGCCAGGGAGAGGGCCCGGCAGCATGTACGTCCGAACTCGCCTTCGACCGCCCCTCTTGATTCATCAGCGCGCAGTTTTTTGGGGCGCCTAAGAAACAGACTCGCGCACGCTCACCTGCGGGTCATTGCGCGAAGGAAGAGGCGTGGCAGCATGTGCGTCCGAGCTCGCTTCCGACCGCCCGTCCTCGTTCACCTCCGCGCGCCCCTCCTCATTCGTCTCCGAGCGCCCTTCCTCCGCGTCCTTTCCAACCGCCGCCTCCTCTTCTCTCCGATTCTCATCCCTGCCATCCGCTCCCGCTATCGCTCCCGCTAATGCTCCCGCTCCCACTCCCCCTACCGCCATGACGGGAACACTGGTGCCTCCGGACCCGTCGCTCACGGTGAGCTCTTGCATCTCGTGCTCCATCGCCTGCTCCTCCTCCACCTCCTCCTTACCGTGTCTCGCGCCGGAAATCACGGCGCCTTCCGCGGCAGCAGAAGCCACGGCTGCTGCTGGCGATGCTATTTGATCCTCTTGAGGTTGCAACACGTTCGGGGGATTTTTCTCTTGCCCAATCGACGGTTGAGATACGCTCGGCTCCGAGGATCCGTGATCGGACGGCGCTTCTTCCGTAATTCTCTGCGCATCTTTCGGCTTATACGAGGACACGGCCTCGTCGTCGCCGCTTATATCCATTCCCACCGCCGCTGACTCGCTTACAGTCACTCTCTCTACAGTCACATCACCAGCATCTCCTAAAATGGCTCCTTCGCTAACGGCTTGACTCAAACCCGCTCCAGACGCCTGATCTCGCGCCGCATTCTCATCTGAACTTGCCGTTGCTCGGAGCGGGGATTTGTTAGAGCGGCTGCGTTGCGGGGAGCGATCGGACTTGCCGCGTCGTTTAGAAGCTGCGACGCGTCCCGGCGACTTATCCCTTCCGCTACCGCTCATGCGATGGCTCAAGTCCGACGCCATGTGGAAAGGAGAGCTGGCTCTGTCCCGCATGCGACCGAGAAACCCGCGCTTCATCGGGGAGGCATTGCCGCTTGCAGAGCCAGACTGCTCCGCATTGTGCTCGATATCAGCATCCGCGTTAGAGTTTGATTTCGTGTCCGGAGACGAATCGCGGTGCGCGCCATGGGTCTCGTCCGCGTCAGTGCGGACGCTGTTGTGGAGGTAGTTCTTTTGAAGGCTCTTCCCGCTGCCGGCGAAGGGCCAGACGTTGCGGAGGAAAACACCTCCGCAGGACGGCTGGCCGGAGATGCAAGGCACGCCGGAGACGTGATCCGCGTCGCTCTCGTGAGACTCTGAGTCCGACATGCCGTGCTCCGCGCGTGCCGTGTCGATTTGAGCCAGCTCGCTCGCTCGCTGCTGCGGCTAATGTGTTACAAAGTGGAATGCTAATCTCGAGCAGATTGGCCTTGTCAAGATGAAGATGGTAGTATTTTCAAAGCACGGCCGCTGGCAAAATTGATAAAGAGGACGACTGGAAAATGCAGGGCTTTCGGTGTAATGCTGATAAAGCTTTGCCTGGAAACAATTATTGCGGTCAATTCCTGAAACAGTACCGAAATCGCTCAAACAAAGAAAACTAGGGAGTCACGCGAAGCCGGCAAGCGGAAAGGAGCGCCTATAATAATTTCTTCGTCGAAGTTCAGCCATTCTCAAGGTATACGTGTAATCCAGCAGTTTCTACAAGCGGCATAGCAGAAGAAACGAAACGAGTCAGAGTTGGCCGGTCCCAGCAGGACTGGTGGTGGGTGGGTGGATAACGAAAGCAAAGGGTTCTCCCTTTAGCAGCAAGTGGAACTGTAGCAGCGGTGCTTGTTTGGTTTGGTGAGAAAGCGGGACAGACAACCTCGAGGTGTGCGCGAGATTGCGGTGAACTGAGAGAACTGACCTCAGCGGAGGCATGCGCAGACAAGGAAGAAAAGTTTCTCCAGCGAGGCAAGAGTGACACAAACGAGAGCGAAGGCGCAGTCTTCCAGGCGGAATGCTGGCGGCTGGTGGTTGCGCGCACGAAAGGGCTGACTGGCGGGTGGCGCAAGATACAATCAAGGTAACAGGTGGCGTCATCGGAGTGCACGAGCTAGAATTAGGTGAGCATCGGACGGGTGGATTGGCTACGTTGTACGGGAAGCGGAAGGTTGCGGCTTGAAGGATTGTGCAGGCGGTCTGGGGCCGAAAAAGGCACTGGGTGCTGGAGATGTCCCGGCTTTTCCGGAGAAACGCCACAATAAAACGCAATTTGCACGGAACACTAAACAAGGGGCCACGTACAAACAGGCCCTTGCCACAATGCAAGGTACACCAAGGTAATTTGAACAATTAACACACTATAGATCACGGTTGGCTATTAACCACTATGGAGTGGCTAGATGAGGTTTCTTTGAGCAAACGGAAGGTCAGTAACGGCAGCTTCTTGCCCCTCCACAAGCACAACAGCGCCCTCTCCACCCTCTTGCCGCTTGAGGTATCCCAGGGCAAGGTACTCACACGAACTTTTGCCATCGTGAACATGGGGGCCATGGACGCAACTTGTGACCTTGCCAATCTGCAAGAAAGGGGAAATATTAATCAAAATATGTCATCAAAACAATGGGGGCGAAGTACAGGGACAAAGGGAGACATTACCTTGGCTCCTTCCTTGTTTGTAATGATTGCACCAACAGAAACTGGGTTGGCAAGGCGGAGTCCCCAGAGTTGTTGCTTCACCCCATCATACGTGATCAGCCTAGCGATGGTCTCCTGGCCCATGTAACACCCTGTAATCAGACAAAGCGTGCAGTCAGTCACCAACTAACAGCATCAGCAGAAAATGAGAGCAGGCACGAATAAACAAACACACTTAAATTCCTTAATCTAAAACGGGAGCTGCGGAGGGAAGGCAAGAAAGGGGGGCTTGTAGGAGCAGCATGGCGCTCAAAGGAGAGGGTGCAAGGCATCAAAAGGCAGAGAGCAGTTGGCAGAGACCTTTGGTGGTGGAGACGCATTGGAAGAGAGCGGCCTCCAGCGGGTTGAACTCGTCTGTCAGCTCCGACCCCGGCATGGGGCGCCCTGCTCAGGGCGAGCACCAAGGAGGTGAAGGAAGAGGCTTTTGAGAGTTCCGGAAAATTGTACAGGGTTTGCAGCAGTGCGGAAGTGAGCGCAGAGTTGAAGACAAATTTACGGGCAGGTTTACAGGCAGAGATGGGCGTACAGAAGGATGCAGAGGTGGAGAAGTCAATGGGAGAAGGATGGACAAGCATGTCTTGGAAGCATGAGGGTACAGTAGGGCATGAGCACCTTGCTGAACTCGCACTCTCTCCCACGCGGCTGCACCAATCGGGGTGATCCCAAAGCCGTCAGTGAGTTGGCTCCACACACGACCCGCCACGTCAGCGGACAGCATGAGCAGGAATCCAGGCACAGAGGCGCCCAGCCCACTGCCCACGCCCACTGTTGCCGGCGCTCCCTGAACCTGGGATGCAGGGAAGGACCACGGAAAGGGGAAGAGGGAGGGGTAGGGGGACACAGGGGCAGGTGCAAGGGGAAAGGCCCGAAGGAAGCAGGTGGAGGGAGGGGAGGGGGCAGGGGTGAGTTGAGGGAGTGAAAAGACATCAGAGTGGAGGAGCTTGACGATTTTCGTAATACAGCTTCAGGGCTGATGCTGGAAAAGGTTCGTCAGCACTCAGTCAATGTCAGAGTGCTCAGAAAACCGGCACAAGATTTTTTGCTTACAACAAAGTGTGCATGAAACCCTTACAGCAAAGTGTGCATGCAACACTTACAGCAAAGTGTGCATGCAACCCTTACCGCAAAGTGTGCATGGGCCCCTTCTGGCTGCCCCAGCAGCTGAGTCAGACCAAGCTTCTCCACAACCTGCAGACCAGTCAGTCAGGCACGGGAGGCGTGCACGATGGGGTGTGCGTGAAGAGGTGAGCACGACAGCAGCACATGTAAAATAACAGGGCAAGGATGGACGATCAACAGTCGAAACGTGAAAACATGTGCAAGAAAGTAGAGGTAGAAGAAAAACGGACCGTGGGTGCCTGAGGGCCGATGAGGGCAAGCAGCCTCGTTTGCTCTGAAATGTTCGCCACTGATACCTTGTCTGCTGGGAAGATGTACCTGGCAGGGCAAGAGGACAAAAGGGAAAGGCAGTGCCAACATGCAGGTAGGATGAAATCATGAAAGGGGGGATGGGTGGGATGAAAACGAGATTGGCATCCAACGCTGCTGGTAGAGGGTGTGAGAGGGGTGATGGGCATATGCCAAAAAGAGGATGATATGTGGAGAGGATGGGATGATAGGGGTCAGGAAATTCGAGTCGCTTGGAAGAAATGGTAAGAGCCGGAATCTGACCTCCACTTCCTTCAAACCCCCATTTCTCTCCCATGATCCCTCCTATCTCACGAGGTAACCAGCGGTTGCTGCATTCACCTGTCCATTGTGGTAACCAGCTTCTGAGCTTTGCCAGGTGAGACTGTGAGAATAACAGAAGTGGACTAACGCAGCAGAGGAACGACAAATGGGAGGGGTTGGAGGAGGGAAGTGGAAGAATAGGGAGGCAAGTGGGTAAATTCAATATAAGAACGAGAGTGGCCACGTGTTAAAGAAGTGTAGCAGAACAGAAATGCCTTCTCATCGAAAAGCAAAAAGGCAGACATAGCGCTGGGAACTGGGTTCAATCAAGTGTACCAATCATGAGCCAAACACATGGCGCTCACCATAACCCATGCAGTGGCGAGATCAATGGTTCGGGCTGTAGGTGACACAAACACAGTCATGCATCCCTGTAGAGTGCCATGCGAGGCGATGGCATGCAAGAACATGCCATGCAAAAAGAGGCCATGCAATGCAGCATATTGTTATGCAACGCAGTAGGATGTCATGCAATGGCATGTAGTGTCAGTCATACATGGACTCTATTCCACATATGAGAATTCATGCCAAGAGAAAGTGCATCAGCAAAAAATGTTTTGTCGAAGGTAAATGATTATAGCTCCCAAGTTCAATGCCCTCAAGAATGTACAGGCCTGCATACACAAACAATCATTGGCAGAATTCTAGCCTGCAAATAATGGTGGTGCACGAATGCACCAATGCTGTGCTTCAATGCATGACAGGACCAGTCCATAGTGGCAACTCGCCTGGCCAGGGGAGAGGGAGTTGAAATCAGCCGTGGTCTGGTTGTGCAGGAATCGAATCCGGTCTTCCCCAGATACTACCATGATGATGTCATTGAGAAGAAGCAATGTGGAAAGCATGCCAGGTGGTCACAGTGAGGTCGAAGTCAAGCCAACCAACCAGGGTGGAAGGAAGAGGATAGCGGAGGCTGTGAAAGAAACAAGAGGAAAAACGCGTTACGAGTTGGGGTCCCTGCATCAATGCTGACACGTCCCATGCCGTCCTTGTAATGATTCTTTTATTACCTTTTTCTTTCTGTCTGCCACAGTCATGAGCTTGCAAATCCCATCATCCACTATTCCTGTGACTCTTGCTTACCTTTGATTCTGCCGAAGTGAGACATGTCAAAGACCTGAAGTAGGCATGAGAATTAAGACACAGGAGAACGAGGTAGCAGGACACGGTAGGACATTATCTCGTCATGCCGGAACGATGCAGAGGGAGGAAGGAAAAGGGACTGGGATGAATGAAGGCGTAGCGGTAACAATGAAGACAGCTGTGGCTGATGCGCGGGGAGAGCTGACTTGAGTGACATCCAATGGCATGCGCCAGGCACGAGAGACCTACTGCGACAGAGTTGAGGGCTGCATTAATGGCGTCGTCATCATTGTTGTTGAACGTCACAGGCACCCCTTCCGCATCAAACTCCGCTCCATACTCCTCCATCGTCTCCTGAACACACAAAATTAACCTTCAAATAAGTCAAATTGCCTTCATGCTTGGTTCGTGCTGCTCTGTTGACAGAACAATGCGGCTCCAGGTGAACGCACCGTCAGGTCGCCGTCGATAGGCGGAGGGGCGATGTCCATGTCGATATCAAGGCTTGCAGCGACTGCCACGTGGACCTTGGCCTGTGCGTTTCGTTCGATCCGCTGCCCTGATCCCATGCCTCTTCCTTGAATACCGCTCCCCTGTGGGGAAAATCGTCAAGGGGAAGGATGGGAAGATGACGGAAGCGATGAAACCGGCGACAGCGATACGATAACGCGATGCTGCGTATGCAATCAGGACGCTTGAGTCATCATATGAAACACTCGGTAAACTATAGAAATTCGCTTCAGGAAAGGTGTTCCGCTTCATTGTACGGCTCTGCGGGCTGACTTTATTACGAAGACCATCGTATCGCGCTCCACGAATAGCGAGTCGCTGGGAACTGGTTCTCCTGGCGTCGCTCTTGCAGGACAGCGCAAATGCGCTGCCTCTAACCGCGCTAGCCACAACGGGAGATATCGCAGCCATGACGACTAAAGAGGCTACACAAATCGCTCTGAGTAGCGATGAAGGATTTTTTATCAGGAGACAGGTTCAGCTTCGTACGAGCAGGGAGAATGGTACGAGCTGGTAAAATGGCATGGCCTCTTTCCTCGTGTTCTTGTCTAGCCAGCAAAACGGGGACACAGGGGAGGGACGGAAATGTGGCATGGGGAATGTACGACAGGATACGTTTCAAAAAGGTGCGAGTCAGCGCAACAGAGGGCAGTCCCAAGGTTTGCCTGCTCGATGCGACAGGATTGGTTGAGCTTATGAGACCATCTCTGACACAAACTCAGCTCGTGACACAAAACGCTAGCACCGAAGTTCTCTCGAAAACTTCTCAAATGTTGACAGTGGAGTGAAGCATTTGCAGGAAACAACCACAAAATCATGTATCACTACCGAATCTGCTTACAAAATGAGCAATTTATCCCACCCTTCCTCCCGCTAAGGTCTCAAAACCCTCCTGAACACCTCATTCAGCCCTAATCCCCAGATCACCAGTACTACAGTCTCTGTCCGACTAAGTCCGTCTCATTCAGGTGAAATAGGTGGCGATTCGCGCCATGGAGATTGATGCCGTGCATTTGTGCGGGTTACCAGGAGGGTTACAGGAGACCTCGTGGTCCGTGGTAGGCACGCGTAAGGAACCTCCCGGGGTGTTCATAGGGGCGTCGAAAGTCGACGATTTCACCGTCCTGCTCTCGAGGCAGTCGGACGGCGCGTCCAAATTCTCCGTGTCTTCTCGGGTGAGTTTTGGTCGTTGCGTGCCAACCTGAGGGCGATAGCCTTGTATCGCAGATGGTGTCCTCACCTGAATGCAGTCACAAGCTGCATCTAAAAAGTTCCGTATGCCGTTTTATGGCTGAGCTTTTCAAAAACGATTGCGAGAGTCGCGGAAAACTTCAGTCTCCGTCTGTATAATTAGGAGGAGCTGAACCCCTGATCCCAAACCCCCCATATCCTTCGGCCCTTCCCTTTATCCTTCCCCCCCCTCCCTCTTCTCCGCATTCTCGAGTCCGCGCATGACCACCGTACCACCCACTGCCTCTCCTCGCTCCGCGCCCTCCCTAGTGCGACCGACCGCGTCCTCCGAGCGTGAAACCCTCAACCCTGAACCTCCTTCTACATCTCCCCTCCCTCTTTCCGACCTTCCTGTTCCCCCAGACTCGGCTCCGCGCGTGGCCTCTGGGTCCGCCCACGCACCGCTTCGCGTCCCCGTGCGTCTCTGACCGCGCGTCCCGCCACCACTACGCGCTGCTCCAGGGGAGTGCGGACGCGCCAGCGGCGGGCGCATCAGGGGCGGACGCGCAGGTGGTCGCGAGCTGGCCTTTCGGCACGTCCTCCATTGCGCCCTCCGCGCTCCTGCACAAGACAGGCGCGGCGGACGGTTGCCACGTGGTGGAAGCTGATAGGCCGATCGTCCGCCTGTTTCCGTTGACTGCGACCGGAAGCGCCGTCACTGGTAAGTGGCCTCCGTGCGACGCGTGCAATGCTCGCGGTACATGCCACCCCGTGCTCCTTCTTCTCTTCTTCCCCGCGTGCTCACAGCGTTTCTCCCTTGCCTGCCATATACTCTCCTTTTGCCACACTCCGTCTCCACCCTCCGACGTTCCTGCTCCGTTCCCCGCCCATCCCACACAACACCAGACGCGACGAAACCTGCAGACGAGACCACACCTGGCACCGTCGCCACCGCTACCGCCACCTCTCCCCCCGTCCCGCCCTCCGGGGGTGTTCTCGCCCTCTGCGCGGATGGCTCCATCCGAACCTACTCGCTGGACCTCTCCCTGACCTCATCGCTCACCGAACCTGCGGACGGACCTAAGATCCGGGTGGAGGCGTCAGGCTCGGGGGGTTGGCTTGGGAACAAGGGGGATGGGAAGCGGGGGAGTGAGTGGGTCTTGGCAGTGGTGGGTGTGGAAGAAGGGGAGGGGGGGAGTGAGGGGAGCAGCAAGAGCGGCACGGGCGGAGAGGCAAGGGTGGTGAGAGTGTACCACGTGGCGTGTGGGGCGGCGGGTGATGCGGCCATGGCTGATGTGGATGTGATGGCGCGAGGCGATGGGCATGGCGATGTGCCTGTAGTGAAGGTGACTCTGTTGAAGTCCTTCAGAGTCAGGAGCCCTGGGCAGGAGGGGGGAGAGGAGAAAAAGGAGGAGGAGGAAGAGGCAGGAGGGGAGGAAGCAGGGCGTGCTGTTGTGTCGCTGTGCGTGGGTGATGCAGGCGAGATCATGGTGAGTCGCTGGCCATGCTGTGCTGTGCTGTGCTGTGTTGTGTGGTGCTGTGCTCTGATATTTGAGCCGCCACCTGAGAGTATTTTCAGTTTGTTCATGCATCCTTCTTTGCCGTCTTTCTATCCCCCCTCGTCTTTCCCCAAAACCAGCTCCTATGGAGTGATGCCACGTGGCAGTGCTTCCCCAACACCATCCCACCCCAAGCCCCGTCACCCGACACCCCCAAGGACTTTGTCACCCCGCCCGCTTTCCTGGAAGCATCCCTGACACGAAGCCTTGCAGTGGCTGCAACACAGATGGTGCCTGAGGGCGGTGCCACCCACCACCCAAACTCAAAGCCCTCGTCTGCTCAGGCGAGAGTGACAGCAGCAGCCATGGCTGCAGTGCCTGGGACTCGCTACTGTGTTGTGCTCGCTGCCAAGCCCGCTTCTCACACCAAACCCCCTCTGAACGCCACGGACAATGCAGACCCCTCTCACCTGCCGCTCTACGCCATTGCCTTGGATACACTCTTTGGCTGTGTGCATGCCTGCACCCCTCTCCCCTCCTCCTGCTCCCTCCCCGCCTCCCTCCCCCCCTCGCCCCTCCCCTTGCCTCTCATTCACGCGGAATGGGTGGGCCCCTCCCCAGAAGGCGCCTCCCTGCTGGTTACCACTCCAACCGCACTGCACTCCTTGCATGTGCACTGCCCCCCTCTCTCCCTTGCCTCGGTTCTAGGGGCTTTCCAACCCGCCGTGCCCCTGTTCTTGCCCACCGAACCTGCTGCCGAACCTGCTTCCGGAGCAGCAAGGACTGATTCGGTGAAAGCAAGGGAGGTGTCTGCAGGTGTGGTGACTGCTGGGTGGGGTGGTTTGGCTGCTTCTGCTGCTAGGGCGGCCGGTTTGGCGCTAGCCGACAAATCTGGGCCAGGCCACAGCAACCCGCTACAGCCGACTGGGTGGTTTGTGGGGCCCACATTGCATGACTCGGGATTGGTGAAGAACCTTCCAGGAAAGGACGTGGGGAAAGAGGACCAGGAAGAAGAGGAATTGGGAGGAGGGTTGAAGCCAGGAGTTGGGCAAGTGAAGCAGAAACGGAACGAGAAGAAAAAAGCAAAAAAGTCTCGTGGGAAGGCCAGGTTTGGAAAGTTACACATGGCCCTGAACCTGTCCCGGGCTGCGGACGGCAATGGGCGGCAGTGGTTGTCTTTTGTGGGGAGCGAGGCAGAGATGGCCTTGCTCAATGCTCTGGACGGTATGGCTTTGAGGGGCGAGGAGGGCGGGAAGAAAGGAGGGAGCGAGGGTGTTGAGAATGGGGAGGAGAGGGAGGAGGGGGAGGATATGGAAGAGGGCGAGGCGGATGAGAAGGAAGAGGAGATGGAGGAGGATGAGGATGAAGAAGAGGAGGAAGAGGAGGAGGAAGGAGAAGAGGGAGAGGATGGGGAAGAGGAGGCAGGAGAGGAAAAGGACGCATACGAGAGGGCATTGGAGGAGGCAGATGGCTTGGCAGAGGGCGGCAGCACGGAGCGGAGGAGAGGGAGAGAGATAGACGACTCGATGGCAGACCAGCACAGGCTGGCCCGTCTTATCCTGGAATGTGCGAAGCAGCTGACTGAGGAGAGTGGGCTCGCACCGCCAGCAGCAGCAGCAGCCATGGCTGCTCTGGCTCCGGACCACCAGTCACTTGCCGCGGCTGTTACCGAATGCGTGCGGCTGTTCTCGCCCTCTGTTGTGTCAGCGCTGACTCAGCACGCGCTGGCACGCTCCCACCGCATGCTGCTCCGAGCCATCGTCAGCTCCGGCCAGGTCACGTCGGCTCTGTGCCCGAACCTGGTGCCGAGCCTGGTGGCTCGGCGGGAGGTGCTGCTGCTGGAGGTGTGTCTGGTACACATGGGCGACCTGCCGCCCAGGCACCTGGCGCTCATTCTCCGCTTGCTGTTGGACGATGCCGTGGCTGCCAGTGAGCATGCATGCGAGCGGCGAGCAGGCAACAATGCAGAGAAAGAGAGAAGTGCGGATGAGGAGGAGGAGGGGGTGGGCGGGAAGGGAGGAGGGGTGCAGGGCGGTCAGGGGTTTGTCAGCAGCAGAGTGGCAGAGTTGAGGAGGCTGAGGGGCCGGAGGGCCGTGGCAGATGTACGATCAGTGCTGGCCGGTGCTGCTACAGGGTCTAAGAACTCTAAGAAAGCCAATCATGCGGGGCTTCAGTCCTCGCTGGCAGCTGCGCTGACGTCATCTGCTGAGCTGGACGCGTTCACCGACGCCGAGCTCATCCTCCACACAGTTGTTGCCGTCCCATTCGACGATACGATCCTCGCAGCTGCCTTAGCGCCTCTCTCCCTCCCGCACGTCCGCTTCCTCTTCTCCTACTTTGCCAAATGGGTGGACGTGTACTCGGCTCGGGGATTCGTTGTTGAGCTTCCTGCCTACTCTGTCTTCGGGGCCCGGCCGTTCCTCCCTGTACCGCGTTTGGAAAGAATCTTCGCGTGGGTGTCTACTCTCGTGGATTGCCACATCACCCGCCTCCTCATGCTCCCGGACTGCTTGGAACCAATCGCGCGGCTCCACCGGTGTATCATGCAGCAAGCAGCGGTGGACAGGAGGCTCACGTCGGTGGTTGGGTTTGTGCCGCACATTCTGGCGGGACTGCCTCTCCCGGAGAAGCACCCTAATGGGTTTGGTGGTGGCGGCGATGGTATTGTGGGTGTTGAGGAATCTGGGTTGACTGTCCAGGTTGTGGAGTTGTGATGTGAGGTGTGTTGTGCTGCTGATTCTTTCCAAGTGGTGCTGTGTCAAAGCATTCATAGGTGTTGTGGTAGCATTGAGAAGATGTTCCTTGGTGTCATGTAACACGTGCGCCCGATCAAACCTTTATTTCAGCCTCTGCACCTCCACAGTAAATTTCATACCGTATACAAAAACAAACATCTGCTGTTAATGGTGCATCATTCAGCCATGAGTGAAGTCAGGGAGACGCTAATAGTAACAAATTTACAGCGATTCCAAGTGCAACACATCACGTAACCACCAGGTGGTCCCAATTATTGGGCGGCTTCGTTGAGAGCTGCGTGGTCTGCCACGCAAGGACCAACCAGCGAATCAACAGCCTCCAAGTTCTGGAGTTCCGACCACTTGCACTTGCCACGCTCCGCTTTCTCTGCACTTTACCCAGCAGCTGGCTAAATACGGACTGAACACGTGTCAGGTCGACACCTCCTCGCCACACACCGACTCGCCTCATCGGGATTCGGTCACTTTCCTCCACCCGTTCGGTCATCGCTCTCCTACTCGATCTTGTCAACGTGATGACGCGACAATCTCCGTGGTTGTCAGTCGAACATCGCCCTGCCTCCTTCTGTGCTTCCTCTCCTCTCTCCTCTCCTTCCCCTCCCTTCCTCTCCCATGAAATTGCCCTCCAACCTCCCCGCTAAGCCCGGCGCAGCCAATCACGCCTCCCCTCGCTAATCGAACGGAACGACGGCCGCCATTGATTGTTCCTCGAACCTTGCGCAAACAGACAGCACGAGTCTGACCACTTTTCTTGCCCCTCGTCCTTGGCGTGGAGCTTTACCGTAAATAGTGTGTTGGCCCCTGATTACTTAGTTGTTCCTAATCGTCATTCCTTAGCAGCTTCGAACACCAGCCTGGTCATTTTCTTTACGAACTATTACTAGATCAAGTGCTCGAGTTCTAAGGTCGGTAGGTTCGTACGGGCTGTCTTTCTCCAGCTGTCGTACCAGTCGACCCGTACTTGACTCATTGGTTCTCTTCAACGGTCAACTTTTAAGCATAAATGGCTACAGCTGCTGCTGCACTTGCCTCCAATGTCGGCGCCGCGAACGCCGTCAATACCCTTTCCAGCCAAACGTCTTCATTCCGACTCCAAACTCCCTCGTTCGTCTCCCTACCTAACCTCTCCACCTTTAAAGGCCGGCAAGTAGCAGTTAAAGCCCAAGCCGCCGTGCTAAGTCCAGGTCAAGCGCCTCGCAGCGGCGTGAAGGCGTCCAAGGTGGAGAGCGATGGCGAGAACTGGTGGGAGAAGAACATGCCGCCCAACATGAGAGACCTTAACTCCACGCACGAATTTGTGGAGGCCCTGGGCGAAGCGGGAGACAAGCTGGTCGTGGTTGAATTCTTCGGCACCTGGTGTGGCGCCTGCCGAGCCTTGTATCCCAAGGTGAGTGTTGCGGGTAGATGTTTTGTCAGGGAAATGCTCTCCCAGCTTGAAGGCACAGGTGGTCAGCATTTGGCGCTTCAGATTAGAGCTTCAATGCGGGCTGCAAGTGTGCTGCCGTCATTGATACGCCGCACGGAGTCGCCTGATCGCACCTGGATGCTGACGAGAAACGTCATTTCAAATACAAGGTCACCCGAAAAGTCTGAACACGGATTGAACGTGAGGTTCATTACCTGAGTATACGTCTTGGTGTCATGCACACGTATACGCTTCAACAATAATCTAAGGTTGCCTAAGTCCGGGTCATATGCATCCAAAATATAACGTTCCTCTTTTGTTCTCCCACCACCCATTCCCGAATCCCCAGCTCTGCAAGCTAGCCCTTCAGTACCCGGATGTTTTGTTCCTAAAGATAAACTTCGACCACAACAAGCCGCTGTGCAAGAGCCTCAACATTCGCCTCCTACCCATGTTCCACTTCTACCGAGGAGCAGAAGGCCGCCTAGACGCTTTCTCTGCCTCCATTGCCAAGGTTAGTACAAAATGCATGCATGCTTTCTTCAGCCGCTTGCTTCTCCTATTGCTTGTCATGCATAGCTCTTCCACCCTGCTATCATACGGTACCATGACATTCAGGTGTGGTGGAGTCCTTCCTTACAATGTCCAATTTCTGTGATTTCTTTTTGTTTGTGTGTATTTCGTTACCCCCTGCAGATTCAGAAGTTGAAGGACGCCCTTGCAACCCACAGCACAGACCGATGCTCTCTTGGGCCACCAACTGGACCTGAGCTGATTCTCCATCCTGATGCGCCTGTTGCTGCCCCTGCTGCATCTAAATCGTAGTGAACAAATCTGAGGGTTGACTGCTTGATTATTCGTCCATGATTCTTGACGCTGTTTATTGTAGTTTGATTTGCACCGCCTCGTCAACCATGATATGGGGCCATTGTTGTTGCAATATAGGGTCCCAATTGGACCAAATCGTTAGCTGCTGTTGCCTTGCCACATCACCTGTTAGCAAAATGGTTGCATGAGGTGATGGCACGGCAGTCCACAGCGCAGGGGCACATGGTGTTAGCAGGTTGCTCCTGCATTGGAGCAGCAGTGCTGCCAGGACTGCACATGCGCCACACATGCCACACACGCCACAACTGTCACAAGCTTGCTGCGCAGGTGGAGTGTTATCCTCATTTGCTGATGCTGCCTTCTGGGTGGAGTGTTATCCTCATTTACTTGTAGAGTACGACTCATGAGTCTCTATCACCGTGCATTAAACCTTTACCAGATCAAAAAGGCCTGAGATCCTTTTGAGGTTCCACTAAGGAGAATCCTTGTAATGGCTGTCTGTTGAATTATATTGCATATCTTATAACTGCCTACAGCTAGCTAGTGTACTAGTTTAGTTATTAGCATCAACTGTTGGTGGTGTACCCTCTCTTTTCCTTGCCTATATCCTTGTACTGTTTCTCATTATTGAACCTCTTTGGCCAACCCAAACTCCCTCGATATTCATCTCGCTATGCTACTCTCTCCCTCCAAGCTCCTAATCTCCTAAGTACTATTTGACATGCTATCAGAGCCCGTGTTTCGGTCCTAGGCCCTCGCTCAAATTTGAACCATGGGAGCTTTCCCTCACGCTCGTTTGCAGCTGCTGGCGGCCTGCAAGGCGACCGCCGCGACGAGCAGGGAGACGGTCGCGAAATGCAGCGCGAGTACTGCAGCAGCTGCGCGATCGCCGTTCGTCGCGGCCGCCTCGTCTCGCCCCATCGCCCCGCCCCTTCGTCGCCACGTCGCCCCACTGCTGCGCCTCTGCCGCCCCCCCGTTCGCCCCCCGTGCGCTTCCGCACCCGTCCCGCCCCTGCACGTATTCGGGGGCGGTAGCTATAACGTGGAGGATGGGGGAAGGGAGTGGCGGGCCGACGGCAGCAATCGCCCGCGTCAGCGCCAACGAAGTTCGTTGGCGCCCCCGACATCTCCATCCTGCTCCCCGCCCTCCCCTCTGCCGCGCACTGCAACGGCAGAGACTTGGGGAGGGGGTTGGCGGGATTGGCAGGCGAGGCTCCGGGGGTACTAAAGCCCCCCTTGAACCCCCCTATCCTCCTCCTCCTCGCTGCACCGCATCTGCTGGGCGTGCCGCGTTGGGGGGGGGGGGAGAAGGGATGTGGGGGTGGCGGGTTTGACAAGGCAGCCCCAGCCGCACCTCCTCCCTCTACCTTCCGCTGCACCATCTCCTCCTCCTCTCTCCTCCCTCCAGCCGCATCTCCTCCTCCTCTCTCCTCCCTCCAGCCGCATCTCCTCCTCCTCTCTCCTCCCTCCAGCCGCATCTCCTCCTCCTATCTCCTCTCCTCCAGCCGCATCTCCTCCTGTGCACCACCACCAGTTTCCTCCTCCTCACCAACAGTTGTGTTTGCTCGTAGATGGCGAGCGACCAGCATCCTTCGCCCTCCGGCTATCCCAGCCCTCCTCCGCGCTCTCCGCGCCCACCTCCGTTCTGGCGTTCACAGGTGCTGCCGGTCAGCCACCGCTGTTTCTGTGCCTATCCCAGCTACAGCAACCGCTCTCCAGGCGACCTGGTGCCAGACACCACTAGCTACAGCCGTAGGCAGTTACGGGGGTGTGTTGAATTATATTGCATATCTTATAACTGCCTACAGCTAGCTAGTGTACTAGTTTAGTTATTAGCATCAACAGTTGGTGGTGTACCCTCTCTTTTCCTTGCCTATATCCTTGTACTGTTTCTCATTATTGAACCTCTTTGGCCAACCCAAACTCCCTCGATATCCATCTCGCTATGCTACTCTCTCCCTCCAAGCTCCTAATCTCCTAAGTACTATTTGACACTGTCAGGGTAATGGCAACCAGGTTCATGATTTTATTCCATGGCATATACATTCAGCTATTTATGATATGCAGCATTCATATCGGGTAGGATTCATATTGATTAGTTTGGGCTCGTCAGGGTTGTTTGTACAGCGGATGTTCGTGGAGGGTGAAGGTATCTCCAAATGCTGATGTGGCGATTTTTATCGTCACAGCACATCACCTTGTTCCGGCCAGCGTGTCACTGGTGATGAGATATCATTTGGAGCGGAGCTGTGGGCGATAATTTTCGGGAAATGATCATATTGGGGCCGAACAGTGCCAGAGAGGTGTTCAAAGTAGGGCCGGAAAATCTCGACCGTAGGATTTCAACCCGGAGCTGCCCGCACGGCTGGGCGAACAAGCCGAACCGTGAGTTAAAGAGAATTGCTCAAGAAACCGAATTGCGTGTAAAACTTCTTCAATAAGGGTTTTGACCGCCGTCAACTACAGCGCGCGCGTCGCCTTGTTCTGGAATTAAAATTCGGCGTGTCAAATCGTGAGTACGTAACAACATATTTTATTATGGGTGATACATATCACCAACGCGATCGAAAACGCACAGTAAAAAAAATATTACCCATTCGGAAAAGGATGCGCCTCGGGAGGCATCAACCCTAAATACCAGGAAGGTCCCCTTTTTTAGGGTTGATCCATCCCGAAACTGCATCCAGATTCCCTATGGGTTTTAGTTTTTTTGCTGCCCTAAGAG